TTTTCGCATCCAACGTCTTCGGATCATATCCTCGTTTCCCCATCTCAATCCTGAGCTGAATGCTTGTGTGCATTCTCTCCCTCGTCGAGAACTCCTCTTCCGGGTCCACCTTCCGGTCTGAAGCACCTTGTGGCAACTCCCCGGCCTTCTCAGAATCGAGCTGCCTGCGATCTCCAGGTTATATATATACAGCGCGTTAAACGGACCACGCGTGATGCTTGCCGACCAGACGGCGTCGGGGTTGACGGGCGGCAGCATGAGGTCGGCAGCTTCAGGGGAGAAGGAGACGAGGCCGTCGATTTGATCGCACATCCACGCCAGAGAACCGGTGTCTATGCGGCGCTGGGACTCTTGCGTGTCGGTTTTGGCACCGCCGCCAACGTCGCAGTGGTAGCCTGGGGACTAACACTGTCGCATATTGCACATGTCTTTGGCGGCATCTTCGAGGTACCAAAGCGTAGGCGTGAACACACCACGATGTCCGTCCAGTACGAGAGCTTGGAATGCGTTTTTGACATCTAGGGTACCATCCAGCCAGCCATTTCTCTCGCTTCAGGAATGCAAAGATTTGGTCGCTCCGATACAACGGAGTTGGAGGGACGAGAGAGAGAGAGATACTTACTCCAGTTGAGAGCAGTATTGTAGAACGTCTTCCTCTCGTTAGCCCCCGTCACTTTCTTCAGCATACTATCTGGCAACCCCACCCACTGCCCAAGAGCCACCGTCGTCCGAGTAGTACGTACACCAGGGCTTGCAAAGCGATTTCCCAGCCCTGGAGGCTCGAGACACAAAAGGCAGGAAGGCAAGACAAGAGCGCGGGCTATGCACACACGACATTCAACCGTATCCCCCACCCCAATGCATTTGACCTCAACCTTAACCAGCGCCATCTTTCTTCGTTGGCTTTCTCCCTCTTGTACTGTCTCCACTGCCCCCCAGGGCCTGCGCAGTGTGCCGTGTACGCCCCGCGCTAGACTCCAAAGAGCAAGATCTCATCGCTGGAGGCGTAATTGGTCGCGATGAAGTAAGTGGTAGGCTTGGTTGACGTGCTCCTCGAGACCCTCGCCGAAAGCACCTGCAGCGTCACATCGATACCCATACTAATGTATACACCACACCAATCTCATCATCATCACACATCTCAAATTCTCAAATAGCGAGAGGGGGGGAGGGGGAGGTAAAAGGAGCAGCACAGAGTCGGAGGACTGCCATGTCCCGGAGCAGCAGACAACGACGCGTTTCGGCACATTTCACTTATATATATATATATATTTATATACATAAGAAGAAATGACAACCAAATTTGCTCAAAAGGACCAATTGGATTGTGTTGTGCAAAAGCAGATCTGCAATGCACATTGCAGTTTCTAGTATTATAACCCTATACCGCACGACAGATTGCAAAGAGTATTCTCACGATGGAGTCAGCGAGGATATGATATATAATCCACAGTGAGCACGGAAAAACATGGTATCGCTCATATCATATTCTCTTTTCGATATCCTGCCAATATAGCCTCCATCCCAACTCCGCCGTCGTCTTTCCTTTCCCCCCCCCCCCGCTTTTTTTTAAGCTCGCTTGCGGCTCACCAGGTAGGCAACTACCCTCCTCGCTTATTCATTCGTGTCATTCCCCCCTCACTTTTTGTAAAGATCTCAGCCATCACATCACCCAGAGCAGAGAGATCTTCACCAGAAATGGTTTTTCGATGAAAAACAAAAAAAAAGGGGGCGAGAAAGAGGAGAGAGGGGATAGAGTAGAACACCAATCCAAGAATCAAGAATCAGCAATAAACATCTAGTTCCAAATAAAGAGGTCAAGACAGACAGACACCTACCTACCTACCTACCAACGATTTATGAAAATCGCACAAGCACTTCTCGCCTGCTCGCTTACCCGCTCACTCGCCAATGATAAACCATATATAACAACAATAACAACAATAACAACGACAACAACAACCCAATTTTTCCATTTCCGTTTCTACTTTTACTTTTACTTGTACTTCTACATGTAATCTTAAAGAAGCAGCCAGCCAGCCGTGACGTCTCGTCTCGTTTCGTTTCCATTCATATCCCGTAATTTCATCGCTCGTAAAACACACACACACACACACAACATAACACGACTCATCTGTACACAAAGACAGATAGGTATGAAAGATAGGATAACCCCTTGAGAGAAGAGAAAAAGAAAAAGAAGAAGAAGAAAAAAAGGAAAAAAAAAGGAAAAAGAAAACTCGTGTCGTGAATTCGTTCGTTCGTTCGTTCGTAGAATTGGACTTCCTCTCTCTCCGCCCACTCCCCCCCCTTCCCCCAGTTTTTTAATCTCTCCACGTTCCGCATCCTGAAAGTCACTTGTCATCTCCCCCCTCTCCCCTCCCCACCTCCCGCCCCAATTCCTTCTCCTCCTCACCACCCAAAAGTAGTCAAATTCACCATCCCCATTCCAACTCCATCGCACCAGTTCCACTTCCACTCAAGACGAGAACCGATTCGTAAAGACCTTCTTCCCCTTCCGGACGCGGAACCCCTCTTTCGGCGGGCTCCACATATCCCGCACCGCCACCTCCCCCCCCAGCTCGTCGTTCTCGTCGCCACTCGTCATCATCTGCTTCAGCGGGCTCTCCCGCCCGTTAGTCTCCGGCCGCGCCTCCCGGCCTTTATTCACCGCCGCCATGGCCATGGCCGGCGGCGACGGGGACTTGCGCTGCGCCGCCACGCGGTCCGCCGTGTTGGTGTTGTGCGTTGAGGATCGCTTCTCCCGCTCCTTGTCTCGATCGATGGGTGCCAGTGCCGGTGCGTGATTTCCTGGCTTCCGGTGCCGCTCCCCGTTCCGCTCCTCTGGGCGGTGTTCGTTGTTGGTGGAAGTCTTGTCGTGGGTAAGCGTCGGCGCCAGCGCCCGCGGTGGGGACCTCCCATTCCGCTCCTCGTGCCGGTGATGGTGCTGTGTTGCCGTCCCGTTCACAGGCGCAGGAATGCGCGCCGGTGGGGAGAGCAGCGCCACGCTGTTGTCCATCGTCACCGCATCGTCGATGGAACTCGCCCTCGAGCTTACAGGCGCAGGCGACCTCACGTCTTCACGTCCCGCTCCGTTGGATGCCGCATGGTACAGGAAGTTGCGAGCGATGTGCTTCTCCGCGGCCATCAGCTTTGACGTGGCACTGTCTCTGGCCGGCTGGCTCTCTTCCCGCGGCGATGGCGGGAGCGGGATGCTGTTCGCTCTTCTCGGTCTTTGGTATGCCGAAGCTGTTGGATTGTTGTTGTAAAGGTTGTTCTGGCTCAGCGGAGGGACCTGCGTCGACTTCGGGATTGGGGGTTTTTCGTTGGTGTTGTGTCGAAGCAATGCCTGCGGTTTTCTCTGTGCGTATGCTTCCTGTTCTTTGTATGATGGGAAGTAAGACGTGGGAGACCCGTTCTTGCTGCTTTGACTCTCTGTAGGCGTCGTTTGGCCATTCGGGCTTGTGTGTGGGCTCTGGTGAGGTGGGGGAACGGGTGCTGGCTTCGGGAATGCAGCCCCTTGGATGCTGTTTCGAGGCGATGATTTGAGCCGCAAGTCAGTGCCATTCGTAGATGGTGCAGGTGGAGAGTGATGAATCTGTTCGTTCAATACGGTAGTTGGGGGCGTCGTCGAGCCGTTCAAGCGATAGTCTTGCTGAAAATTGGTCGTTGGCACCGCTTTTCTAGTCGGCACATCGTGTATGTTGTTCCTCGGTGATAGATCCCGGGGTCGCGCTTCCTGATACAAGAAGTCATTCGATAGCTGTGACTTGGGTATAATTGCTACCTCGTGGCCTGGTGTATCATCGAAGTCGTTTTTGGGCCAGGAGAAAAGTGAAGGGGAGGAATGTGCTTCCTTCATCTCGGGCTGGGCCTTCTCCTCCCGCACATTGGCTCTTGGTGGACTTCGACCTCTGGTCCGCGGCGCTTGGGGAGGCTGCGGTCTTGGAGGAGAGTCGAACCTTAGTGCCAATTCAGGAGGAGGTGATGGAGCTGGCTCTTGTATGTTGATGGTCTCTATGATATGCATAGGCGGAGCTGGATCATCATCGAGTTCTCTCTGGTCCGCGAGCACTGTATGGTCGATTGAAGGGACATGTTTGGATGGATCGTCGTAGTATTCCTCATACTCGGATTGGTCCACATCGACACCTTCATCTGTGTGACAGCTTATTTGGGAATCTGGTGCAAAGCTGCCCGTCATTTGCGGTTCTGGACCACTATCCGAATGTTCATGAGCCGCTGTACTCGCGGGAGCGTCGACAACCGGAGCTGGCACATCTGGCACATCTGGCACATCTGGCACATCTGGCACTTCAGCCTCTGGCACTAACACAGGAATACAATCCTCACTGGGAAGAGTCAGCACATCTGCACTCCCAAAGAACCTCTCGTCCAAAACCCACCTTTTCCCCGCAAAGTCCTTGAGGTTCAGTCCTTCCAGCCCCTTCTCCACATCCTTCAGAACCCCCTCAATCTCATCCTCGATACCGTGCGCGTTGCCCGAGGGTCCATGGGAGTTCCATCTCCTCGAGCTCGTTTTGTTACAGACATCCAAGACCTTGATCCCCCGAATCTTCTTCGCAAGGTCTCTCCACCTCCGTCCTAGAAAAGGCGCTTCGGGTTTGGGCCAGATGCCAATCTTGCGAGAGCTTTTGAGCAGCGAACCCAGGACCATTGCATCGCAAGCATACCGGAGATCGTCGTCTATCGCTGCGTCGCAGTGATCAGTGCCATCCATGAATTTGATGATGAGCGCGTGAACTGTGTCGATGGCGGTTGAGATGGCAGATACGCGGGCATGCTTGATGGCGTCTACAATCGCACTGGGAATCATCAACCCCTTGACATCCTCCTCGATCTTCTCGTCCGCCTCCCTCTGCACCAATCTCGTCATGTCGCCAAACTCCTTCTCTCGGTCGAAGACCCAGAACACGTACAACATCTTCAGGATGTCCTTGTTGTAGCCTTTCGGCAACCCTTCCCGCTGCAAGTTGTCAATCCAGGTGTCCGAGAAGAAGTCCACGGTCTCGAGCATCCCGAACTTGCTCACCAGCACGGCAAGTTTGGTCAGGTTATCAGTGCCTAAAGTTCTGGGAACCTTCCGACTCGCCCCGTGGATGATGTTGAGCAGGATGACCATGCTATCCAGATCATCCTCCCAGAACTCGATTACCACTTGTCCCGTCGTGCGGAGCGTCTTCGCTTCCTTGAACTCACCGCTGAGGATCGTCTCGAAATAGCGGGAGGATAGCATCAAGTGGCGTGAAGAACAGATACACCACGCCTCATGACTCTCCACGACGGCCATCTCCACCTCGCCCTGTGCGTCTTGCACAACCTCTGAGACGGCAGCATCATCCTCGACAGCAACGGGATCTCCAATGACCTGCGCGGCCTGTCTCTTCAACGCGGCCCAGAAAGACGCTGGTGGACTCGCGGACCGATCCCTGCGACTCGCATCCGACCCCCTCGCTCTCGGCGTCGGCGGATAGAAAGGCCCATCCTCAGCGCCTGGCGCGTCCGGAGCGTAAAATACAATACCGTCGTCCTCGTCGTCGTTCAGAGTCTCTGGCTCGATTCCCAGCGCCGCCTCAATCTCGGCGTCTTCGTCCAGCACCGGCTCTTCAGCCTTCGAAGGTTTATCAGTTATTGATCTGGGTGCATTCGGATTCGCACCCGAGACGACGTGTCGGATGAGCTTCAGTGTGACATCGCCGTTCGGCATGAAAGTCAGGATTTCGGGCGCCATCGCCATCCTCGATCTCGCTCAACCGATCGTGTCCGGTCGCACAGAGAGTAAAATTCGCAATCTGCAGCTGCTATCAGCACTCATCCCTGCCCTGCCCTGCCTTGCCCTGCCCTGCCCTCCACAACACCAGCTGTCGGAGAAAGTTCCACACGTACCGATGATATTTCGGAGACACATTTGTAAATTCGCCAACAAGCGAAAGAGAGAGAGAAAGAATAGAGAGTCAGAGCACGGAGAGAAGATACATAATGTTCAAACGACCCGATTTTTGATTTTTTTTTTAGAATACTCCGCGCCGCCTTGGGCAGGCGGCAGGCGTCGGTGAGTTGTCCTACCCTACCCAAGACCAAGGCCAATCCAATGGGGGGCCGGTCAGACATGCAGGATTTGCAGGAGACTTGACTGGGTCGGGTCGGAAGGAAGGGGAGGAAGGGAAGGTTGGGTCAGGTAGTTGGGTAGCCTTGCATACACCAGCCACGGAAAAAAAAGTCAAGGAAGCAAAGGCCCGCCGTATAAATGGACGGGGGAGATACGAATTTGCGGTGAAGGCGACGGTGTGGTTTGGTTACCAGGTGAAGAGGTTGGCGAACGGGCACAGAGACTGGGCTTGTACTTACTGTACCGAGGACAAGGGGACTTGAAGTAACCACCTGTACTCCGTAGACAATGAAGCTGGGAGAATGACAATAGAGGAGGTGGGAGACGAGATGTCTGAGATTCTAATGCCGAAGTGGCTGTGGGAACGTGACCTGCGCGTGAATTATGTATATACCGGTAGGTGTATCTAAATGTTCATCCCATGTTTCTCGTCTAATCCAACGCAGCCGGATCGCCGAAAGGAGCGAAGCGAGAAGATTAAAGCGGAATCAACGTGACAAGTCGTCCTAGGACGACGCGTGATTTGGAGATGGACTTAATTTAATTATTACAAAGGAGAACAACTTTCTCGGTCTGTCACTAGGGAGGGCCATTCCAACTATCTTCTCACCGTTGCACCGTCTACGCACCATAAGCGGGCGAGCTCACAATCCGCTCACCATCCTCAGCCGCGGCGATGGACTTGCTGAAGGACCATTGTCTCACCAAGTGGCCCTTGAAAATAACGAAAAGCATGACAATATTAACGAAAACGACGAAGAAAGCTCCCATGCCCCACATCCAGCCAACACCGACGGCCTCGTCCCAGCGGGTGGAAACGAAGACGGACATGATGCCGAAGGAGATGCGGTACCCGTTCAACGCCACAGCGGCTTCCACGGGGTTGTCGGTGAAGCACTCGACGATGTAGTTGTAGCAGACGGGCAAGATCAGCAGAGCAGAGAACCAGATAAGGAAGCCTGCGAATGCGAGCAGCACGATATCCAAGTGGTGCTCGATACCGGCACCCCAGATTCCCAGGCCGATAGGCAGAATGATACCAGGCAGGATGACGTTGGAGAGACGGTATTCCGGGTGCCAGGCTCCTCCCTTGCGCTTAGCGACGTAGAGGGGGATCTTGTCGTTGAAGAGGTATCCGTAGAGCTGCGCGGCAAACATACCCAGCCAGGCGGTCATGGTGAAGAAGGCAAGGCGCAGGGAGCTGAGGCCATAGCCACCAGCCACCTCGGGTGGCATCATGTAGACTGCCATGGTGGAGGCTTGCATGATAGGGAGGCCGAGAGCGACGAAGACGTACATGCCGACCATGATTGTCACTGGCGTGAACACGATCTTGATGGGGCTGATGGCACGGAATTTCTGATGAGGTCAGTCGGAGACTCGTGGCACGGAGAAGGTTGGGCACTTACAACTGTAGCGAGCCTCTGGCCAGATGGCTGAGTTCTGGTGCCGATAAAGAAGGTAGCCATACGGTTTGCAAAGTATCCAGTTGGAAGCTGGCGCTGAATGGCACCAGGCGTACGATCGAAGGTAGTGTCCTCAACGAAGAGGAATACCGAAATGATGGCTCCGCCGATGGGTCCAAGAGTCCACCAGAAAACGTAAGTCCACGGGTTGGTCTCTGCGATAAAGCCTCCGAGGGTTCCACCACCAACGACCGCGAAGATGATGAGTACTTCGAAGAGAGCGAAAGCCTTACCACGCTGGTGGAGGAAGAACATGTCCATTATGAATCCAACCCCCATGATAGCGGGGATAACACCGAACATGCCACAGACGAGACGAGAAAACAGAAAGGGCATGAAGTCGTCCGGTCCGTCCATGTTGGCGGCCCAGATCTGGCAAGCGAAAGTTCCAATCAACGAGTAGAGAACGACAGCGGGTCGTCCGATTGCGCCGGCGAGGGGGGTGATGATGCTGGGACGAAGCGTCAGTCTTTATCACATAGGAGTATCATGTGAGAGGCTTCCGCACTCTCAGAACTACCGAGGGCGCTCAGAAGATGGGAACAGCGGGTGACTTACAATGGGCCAGCCATCCATCCTGCCAGACCAGCGGCGACGGAGTTAAGAAGGTCGTCCGAGGTTCTTCCAACATAGTTCGGGACTTGGAGCATGAACGTCAACTGGTTGGAGTTCGGCGACATCTGGCCGGCAAAGCCAGAGAGACAGATGCAAGCGAAGATGATGATCTTCTTGCGGAGCGGCCAGTTCTAAACTGCGGTCAGCTTGTGTCCCAGGACGTGACGGAAGGGTTCCTCCTACAAGGGGATCCGCAGGGTCATCACTGGGTTGTGGAATCAAGATGATGCCATTGGCATCCGTCTTCTGTTCATAGCTGGTGCGAACATCGTTGATTGATTCTTTCTTGGTCGACGAGCCTTGAGATAAGGTCGTGGCAAGCTGAGATTCTGAGAGACTCTCTTTCACAAACCCATCCTGATGTGGAGTGCGAGACATGGCGCCGCAAGAGTGAAGCGTAGATTCCAACAGGTAAGTGTACTATAGAACGATCGGCGGAGGAAGGAATGTATCAAGACACTTGCAGGTGGAGGCTAAGAAAGAAGAAATATATAACAAAGGGAACAAGTCATGCGGATGTATTGGAGAATGTCGTTGATGACAATCCTTCAGAGATATGGATGTTTATTAATGGCGCCCGCTTCCAAAATAGCCAATGATCAGGACTTTTTAGAGTTGAGAACCGTGCTATCAGGGTTCAGGGAGATAGATAGGCATCGTTACAACTGTGTTATTAGTTAAACTCGTACCATTACAGTATCTGGCTCCGCTTCCTATCAGTAGGATTTAGATTATTGCCTGCATATTCGACGTCAAAGTGGGAAGTATCTTGAAGTATGATCGCCATTGGAGGGGGCAGTCGCTGGTGTCGTTGGTAGGAGGGCACCGAGCACCAAGCCCGTTCGCCAGTTAATCCGGCCGGCAAGGTTCGCCGACACGCAATTTATCCTACTATACAATGACTTGTCAAGGGTTACCCGGACTTGTGCGGCGTTGGCAATATTCCGGTCACTTCTCCGTCCTCTTTTCCTACTAGTACATTCATGGTGGAAGTCTTTTTTTTTTTTCATTTGGATATATGATATTGCTACGGTGTAAGCGGCTGGAGTCGAGAACAGCATTGACGATAAAGCTTTGACGAACTCTTCAACGGATCTGAAGTCTCTTCTTTCTGGTGGGATTTCTCTTACTTGATAAGTGACAAGTTGTGATTTTATGCGAACGTTGCAAGTGAAATGGCAAGCCAAGAGGGATAGAGTTTTTTTTAAGCTCTGGGCAGAATGGTTCTTTACTTATCACTTGCACTTTGACTGGCTTGGCTGATCGAAGAGAAGTGGAGGGGTTACCCACCACACTTCTATAATACTACTATCTTCTCTTCGATACAGAATCTGTACTACAACTACCTATCACACGAGCCGATGCACACTCTACATACTACAGTACAACTGTACTACTAGTTGAGACCTATCCGCGCTACCCTTGGATATTGCCTTGTACTCCGTACATAGAGTATTTGTGCCACGAGATTATGTAGTGCTCTTCAAAGAATACGAGACTGAAAAGAGATTGGAATGGTACCTTGTGCTACCAACAACACCTATCATCACTTCTATATCTCTCTGCAGCAATCGAGCAAAGTCGTAGTAGCAGTCCAAGCAGAAATTGACTCCTTGTACTCCTTACTGACTGTCCGGAGTGAGAAGTTCGCCCGCGTGTTGAGCACGATACAGCCGGGTGTGATGATGACACCATGCCCGGGCAATCATACACTAGTTCCAATTCCAAGGATCTGAGAGCGGGCTTATGTACGTAGTAGTAGTATTATACCGAGTAGTATACTCCCAGGCATTGCATAATAAAGTTTTTTTTTTGTTGAAAGCATCGGAGCGGAGCCTACGTAGTAAGTTGCATTGTACGGAAAGATACTACTAACAATGGCAGGAGAGGTGAGGAAAAGGGGGCGTTGAAAGCATCGATAAGAATAGAAAATACTCTATCGTCGTCTCCAAAACCTCCTCCCATGAGTCAAATATCGAAGTTTCGAACCTTCCAATTGATTACTGTCGAGCTTAATCGCACTTCGAGATTCAATAAAATCCTTCTCGATTCGCCAAAATGTTGATCTCTATGGTTTTTACTTATTACTCCCGGGAATCCCTTGTTGAAGTATGCAAGCGAGTTGCTGTCCGCACAGGCCGAGATCGGATCAAGGTCGCGCCTTGCTCGGCTAAGGCGGAGCTTTCCGTTCAAGGCGGCGCGAGTGGAAGAACCGTGCGGACAAGCCCTTTTAAACACTCAAGCCCTCTTAAACATTCAAGCAAGCCAGCCTTCTTTCAACTCGATCGCGCGCAGCCCGGTCGGCCACGTTTTGCTAGGCCCGTGACTACAATTACTTGCTTTTCTATCAACCGATTGCCGAATCGTTCTGTACAGGCCGGAAGCCAATTAGCTCATCATCTCGAAGATCGAAGTCGTAATGGACCGTGTAAATAGCGTTCGGGCAGGTACCGGTACTACGTGCTACGTAGCTTCAACTTGGTGTTACAGTTGTAAGAACGAATACTACGTAACACTGCTTGACGAAAACGCGGTTTTTAGATCTCTAGGAGGTTTAGATTGGAGCTTCGAAGGCCTAAGGTTCCAGGCTCTTACAAGATTTCGGGGGGGGGGGGCGGAGCGTTCTCCGAGACTTTTCAGTGATGGCAGTTGTCTGGATAAAGGAGCGTACGGTATAATATCACAGCAAGTTGGTACGTAGTATATGCGATCTGGGCTATACTAACGTTCCTATAAACCTTTTTTATCAGTCCTAGTCGTGTTTTCTTCATAGCGGTCGAATCATAGGCCATGTGAATGACAGCCGTTAAACCCGAGCTCTTGACGTGGGCGAACGAAGCGTTATCAGATGTTGACAAAGATTGCGCGATTGACAACTTTAACCCCGTTAAATAGTCAATGTGCTCAGACCTACGAACTTCAAGCAACTTTGCAGTCTCATCCACTTATACAACGTGCACTAATTGTGCGCCAATACTCCGTAAGGCAAGCTGTCGGCCGCTCCTCCGTCTCAGGGTCCAACACGGTTATCCTTTTTGAGTGACTAAAAGGTTGACCGATTCTTTTTTGTTGAGCCTCTGGTACGTAGTAGCTTCTCTGGCAACACCGATACACACTGTTTACAAAATCCTCCAGTCCACTTTTCCAGGTATCGGGATTAGCGAGAAACTGGACTACCACCGAACCCAGCATTCCGTAAATACAACAACTATTGCTAGCAGAACGTCAGCGTAGTGTTCTTTTATTATTCAGCTCACGCGCTAGTTTGTGGTCTAGGCGTCCCGCCAAGGGGAGGGGCATAAAAACAACCATTAATCAACTCACAAAATCCTACGACCCAATCCCTCTGTGGAGCTCGATAGCCCCTGCACCTTCTCATTGGGCAAGGCGCTCGAATAAGCCAGGTTGAAAACCTAGAACTGCAAGTGTAGCTGTACAATTACTTACAGTATTTACTTCTAGGCCTGGGCATGGCTAGCTTCAGAGCTAGAGGTGGCTGAGATACTACAATTAAAGGTTACACACAGGCCAGAGAAAGGCCGTCGAGTCGGCCGTTCGCTATTAAAGTCCCGATCCTAAAGTCCACCGGCTAGAGACCCTTGTGCAACTATACAGAGCAACTCGGCTTCCTCTCCCCCTGCGCGGTAATGACAGATGGGTGGGAGAACTCCGAAGCTCACTTAGTCCTTCCCGTCCCCTATTTATTAAGGTTTACCTACGGCTTTAGATTCCCTTTCGCGAAATACGAACGAACGCCCATATGTGGATGTTCTAATACTCGACGAAGGATTGAATAGCTTTTGCAAGATTTTCACGTCTTCAAGTGCTTGTGGGAAGCTCTCTAGCTAATGTCGTAGTAGCTCCCACCTCACTCCTAATAAACACAATATCTGGTCAGTGCTGCTAGCCTATTCCTGTAAGGCTGGGAAAAGGAGTCGACCATGGCTATCCTTCCCCCCGCCCCCCTTTTCAAATTCCAATGTCTACTTTTGCAAGGGTCTTTGCAAAGGCTCCAGCCAGTCAAAACCCGGAGATCAGGCCCTGGAAGTTTTTGGTTGTACCTCCGTAGTAGTAGTACGTAGTATATGCAGTACGTAGTACATTTGACTGGTGCAGAAGAATGCTAAGGCTTCAGATCGTTCCAAGAACTTCTTTTATACCATTCAAGAGAATGGATTGCGACGTGCCTAGCACTTAAGGGGGTGACATTGCAGCGGAACCATTCCAGCGGTTGGTCCTACAAAACGCATTGAAAGATGTGACTCTGTTCCATATAGCGACATGCTGGATGAATCACCAAAGAAGAAGAGAAGGACTGAAAATAGTTGTACTCAATACTGTAATCCTCAACCGAAGTTCAACGGGATCGTTTAAATTCTACCCCCAGGCGGTAAAGGTGGGGAGATGGGCCTCATCTTCTTCTAGCAGGTTCATAATCCCTTTATGCCTGTTTAGATAAACTTAGGAACCCATGTCTGCATGGTACTTGCGAAACCTGCTTCTTTAGGAAGCACTTGCATCTGTGAAAAGTTGACCCTGGCCCATGCTTTGACGTTCAGCACGAGTGGTCACTGGTTTGATAAAAGGTCCTACCTAGGTGTGCAAGAGACTCCATCGTTCTCTCTATCTCACACACCTGTTTCGTACTCCGCATTCATAGGATACTCGTCGACCTCTTTTGTGAATTTAGAAAGCAGCGGCATTGATTGCTACGCCGACATTCCTTACTACAAAAACCGCAAGACCTGCGACAACCGTCATCATGACTTACGCTCCAACGGCGCAAGGATGGAGGATGATCATCATCGTTTCCGTCTTGGTGTTGCTGAGTACCATAGCAGTTGGCTTGCGATTGTACGCTCGATTGAAGCTCGGGGTGCCGCTTCTTATCGATGATCACCTATGCTTCGTAGCGATGTTCTTGATGTATGGGATGCTGATCCAATTGGTGCTCTGTACGTTCTACACCTACCCGCTCACCGTCTTCGAAAGTAAAGCCGCTGATAATTCTATAGGGTGCACGATTGGTGGCAATGGATCTTACATAGAGGACTTGACCCCATACGAAATAACCAATTTCTTCAAGGTCGGTTACGCCTGTCTACTCAACTCGACATAAAGCGCTAACATAAGGAGATCTTTCTCGCCAATCAATTCACTTACTTCTTCCTCTCCCCGACGATCAAGATTTCTATCGTCTGCTTCTTCCAAAGAATCTTCTCGGTATCCCAGAAGTTCCATTACGTAGCGATTAGCGTCAACTGTCTCATTGCTGTTTGGGGCGCCGGCATCGTCTTCACCTGCGGACTACAATGTCGACCCATCAGGGCTTTCTGGGACCGTAGTATCGATGGAAACTGCATACCGGTCAACACCTTCGTCATAACCAATCAAGTGTTCAACGTTATTATGGACTTCGTCCTCCTCGCCTTACCATTGCCACTCATTTGGAACTTGCGAAGATCCTGGCAGGAAAAGCTGGCTCTCACCGGCATCTTCGCTTTGGGAGGATTGTAAGTTAACCAAGCAACCCCCTTTAACCCCTTCGGGTACACGAGCTAACAGCACCAGCGTCTGCTTCGCCAGTGTTTACCGGATCGCCTCCCTGCTCATCATCGTACCCGCACAAATAACCAGTACGTCTACGTCTCAATCCACTTGCTCCGCGGGATCTCCCATCTAATTAAATCTTCACATAGATACCGTCTACCAAGCCACGCTCTGGACTCACATCGAGCCCTCCGTCGGCATCATCTGCGCTTGTCTCCCGACCATCCGTGGTCTCTTTTCCTGGCGCCGTATGGGCGATCAGTCCGAGAACAGCACTGACGCCGTGTCATACGCAAAAGGCTCTAAGCCTGGACTCTCCTCGACAGACACCAAGTCCGAATACATTCGCATGGCCGACACGAACCAATATCGCGCCGGGGAGACGGACGAGGAGAGCCTGGTGCGCCACGCGGAGGAGGATAGCAAGATCACTGTCCGTACCGACATCGAGATAACCAACGACGGGTCCAAGACGCCGAAATCCCATCTGGCGCACATGTCGGTCCAGCAATTGAAGCTATAAGTCAACTACCCGGCACGGAGTTCAGGGATAAAATGGAATTTATGGCTCCCCGGTCCAGCAACTGCAATTGCATAAAATGTACGCAATGTAATGATAATCACGATAGAAAAGGTCGCCAAAACTTCTCATCAGGCTACTTCTCAGCCTGTATGGCATTCTTGTATCATTACAGCTAAGCGAGGACTCCTTTCCGTCAAAACAAATTTCGGTTACGGGATTGAGGACTCAGCAGAGAGGCAGTCGCCCCGACTGAGATCCACATAGCAATCTCAATCCATTCGACGCGTCAGGCTAAGTGCGGAGGCTACCTCTCCCGTCATATAGGCATAGATAGTTTCAAATCTTGAAGAGCACTCAATGTACATCCTTCACCTTCGGCACGAAATCCTAAAGTCGCGTGAGAAGGGATCACCCTCGCACTTGATACAGCACGCACTAGAGTACCTGACGTATCCCTGCTGACATCTCTGATATCGGTGAGGCTTTTCTGTCACCGCTGAGTTCTTCGTTTTGCTTAGAGTAGTTACGAACAATTAGTCGTACGTATATATGTCTTATTAATTTTACTCGGTACTCTGCAGCTCGAATCCCGCGGCGGCACAGTAAGTAGAAGTAAGTAGCGCCTTGAGTTTGTAGACGGGGAAGGAGTCCGATAGAGTAGTCTGTCTGCGCTAGCCTTGTTGGTACTACGTAGGTTGCCGTAGCTGCCGAGTAGTGTATTAGAGCTAAATATTCTGTTTCGTCTAAGGAGATTTAAAGGCTTGTCAATATCAGCTACCTGGATTGTGATCGTAATGGTCAATCTTAATTGAAATAAAGATGAGTCAAGGAACTACTTAGACTACACGTTCAATTACGCATGTACTGAGTATGTAATTGAACCTACGACTACAACAACCACTGTAGTATCTGAAGCCGGTGGGTCCGGAGATCGAGATAGTTGTAGGATCAGTAGGTTGACTTGGCGTTTCGTTTCGTTTCGTTTCGCGTGCCCGGCCCAACATCGACAAAGCTATTGTGACATCGTGATTCCCTACTCCCTCAAGAGCTGTTCGACTCCAGACTTCTTCGCCAAATAGCCATCATCTGACCCGGAGAAAAGAAAAACAACAACAGAGAATCAATTAGATATACCTACCGAAACAATGGCTTCCGAAACATCCGCAGCCCCTTACACAGTACCGCTGCTCATCAACGGCATCGAGGAAACGACCTCCGCGACCCTCGACGTGATCTCGCCCTACACATCCACCACGTGCTGGTCCGTCTCCCCATGCTGCATACAAAATCACCCAATAAGAAATTAAGGAAGAGAGAAAACAAAACACTTGATGCTAACCAGACCCTCAGGACCGCCTCAAGTGCTACGCCCGCCGACGCCATCCGGGCCGTTGAGGCCGCAGAAGCTGCACTCCCCTCCTGGTCCGCAACCAAGCCAACTGTGCGCCGGGACATCCTCCTGCGGGCAGCCGATCTGCTCGAGGAGCGGCTTGTTGAAAATGCCAGCTTCATGAGAACTGAAATGGGCGCTGTAAGTTTCAGCGAGTCCTACCCACCCGAGAGTTATCTCGTGAGCAATTTACAGGCGGCACTAAAAACGGCTTTTGAGACTGGTAAACGTCAATGACGAGCCCAATGCTGACATCGATCTCTCCTTTCCTCAGGACGTGGGCGCCAGCCAGTTCTTCGTGGTGCCTCTCAGCATCAGGATGCTGCGTGACCTCGCGGGCAGGATCACGGGTATCTGTGGCAGTGTTCCGGTCGTCGAGGAGGAAGGCCAGAGCGCCATCGTCTTCAAAGAAGCGATTGGCGTGACGCTGGGCATCGTGCCTTGGTGAGTTCTGCCTGCTCTTCCCTGACCCTACTCGGAAAAACGTATCATCTTAGAGTTGTAGGCGGGCACAGCTAACACCAGCCCAGGAACGCACCGTACGTCTTCGGGGTCCGCGCCGCCGCCTGTGCACTCGCAGCTGGATGTACCACCATTCTCAAGTCTTCCGAGCTCACCCCTCGCTGCTACTTCGCGCTTGCGCGCGCCTTTACCGATGCTGGGCTTCCCGCTGGCTGCCTCAACGTCATCTCGTGCCCGGCTTCGGATGCCGCGGAAGTCGTCAACACCATGATCGCCCATCCCGCGGTTCGCAAGGTCAACTTCACCGGCAGCACGGCCGTCGGCCGGAAGGTCGCCAAGGTGTGCGGTGAGAACCTGAAGCCGTGCTTGATGGAGCTCGGGGGCAAGAACTCGGCTATCGTGTGTGAGGATGCGGATTTGAATGTTGCGGTGCCGCAGGTGATTGCGGGCTGTTTCTTGAACGTAAGCCGAGTCTCAGCTTCTACTAACATATATATATACAAACATCTCGTGCTGATCATCACCAGTCCGGACAAATCTGCATGGCAGCCGACAGAATCCTAGTCCACGCCTCTATCAGCGCAGCCTTTACCGCTGCTATGCAAGCCGCTCTCGCCCAATCCGCATCCAGCTCCCCCGAGGCCCCAACCCTTGTGACAGCCGGCTCCAAAGCCCGCGTCGAAGCCCTGGTCTCCACCGCCCTCTCCTCCGGCGCGCAGATCATCCACGGGCCCGCCCCCGCCGCAGCCCCTCCCTCCACCACCACCGCTGGTGTCCGGTTCGCACCGACCGTCCTCGGCTCCGTGGCCGAAAGTTCGCCGGTCTGGCAAGACGAGATCTTTGCCTCCCTCGCCTGCCTGAAGGTCGTCAGCAGCGACGACGAGGCCATCGCGGTCGCGAACTCCGGCGGGTACGGCCTCTCGGCGTCGATCTTCACGGCGGATCTGCGCAAGGGCCTGAAGATGGCGCGGAAGATCGAGAGCGGCGCCGTGCACATCAACAGCATGACGATCCACGATGAGCCGGTGCTGCCGCACGGTGGCGTCCGAAACTCGGGCTGGGGTCGCTTCAATGGCGATATGGGCTTGAACGAGTTCTTGGTTACCAAGGCGGTCACTTGGATGGATTAGTCAGTTTTACGGGTCACCACATTCTCTAGGGATAAGGCAGGCAGGCAGGCAGCAATCAGAAATTTCGTTAACGGAAAATGAAATGAGAGAAAATTGACTTGATGAATGATCAATGGGAGCTCGCTCATTCTCCCTGGAGGTCATGTGATTGTGCGATATAGATCGGGCAGACAGACTGTGTCATGGGTAAGAACTCTTGTACCACGGTACAGGCGTAATTATTACCCCTTGAAGATGCTCGAAAGTTTAGTTTCCACGATAAACCCCCTGGTTACCCTATCCTCGAGGGGTAATACTTACGCCTGGGACGTAGTACGTTGTTTACTGACATCCGGCTGCAATTTCTCGCTTACGTATGCCTCCGCCTGGAAAGATTAAGGGGCGGGTGGCTATACTTATTCTCATCACCCTCACTTTCTTCCACGTGAAATTTTAACTCTCGTTTCACATGTGCGAGAGTGAAATGCGGGATATCCTTCTCGCTGAACGATGTTTCCTAGTGAAAAATACTAACAGTATCTTGCTCCTGCGTCCCGATCAAGCCGCGTTTTAACCCCCGTCAACTTTCTTCCAGGTTTACGCACGATCTCTCAAGCATCCACGATCTGAACACCCTGTCTGCCGCGTCTCTGTACGTGGCAGCTCGACAAGCTTCGAGCCCTCTCTCATGTCCGAGATCAGCTATTTGTCGCCGTCGTGGATCTCCACCCGATCGTCGCGCTTTATAAATTAGTATGTGATGTAGCCGCTGCATCACCGCGTCTTTCCACGCCATTCCCTGCATCAATCGTCAGACGCTCATCGCCTTTTCGAATTTCGTCTTCATCTGAGAGGTGCGACGTCTCTACGTCTCCACGAGGCTGGCTTTCCAGCCAGGCCCCTCGTTGTCTCGGGACCATTCCTAAAGCGAGAGGGCCAAGTGGAAGTAAGAACGCGCTTGATATTCTCAGTCCACACTGGTCAGCGGCACGAGAGATTCCCATTTTCTGGCGTCTGGGTTGGGCTGGCGGGGGAGATCCAGCTCCAAGCCTCTCCTTCCTTGGAAATCGTCTCGATCTCGAAAGACAGGAGGGGAGTCTGTCTGTGTCTGCTTTTCCGGGAAAGGAAAGAAGGTGTGCTCCGTGGAATATATTAAGACGGTCAGAGTGGGAGGGAGAATCTGGGCTTCGAGTCTACCTACCTACAGCGTCGTCCTTGGAAATAGATGTTTTGGTCGGATGCAGCTACAAGCGGCGAGGATGGTGATAGACGTCGTCTCGTGGGTGCAGCTGGCTACCTGGGCGTGACAGTGACATACACGACTCTTACGCTAGACCCACGTAGAGCTCCTTGCACTTCTTGGATTCGGAGGAGGCTGGTGGCGAAGAGGAACATGCCTGGAGAACTCATAAGCGCTTTCCCCGTCTAGAGTCATCGTTTTCAAACCAAGATTGAGATGGAGGCTTGTTGATGTGAAGTGAAGTGTGAGCTCGGTGGAGACACTACGCTGAGAGAGCGTCAACTTTCACATGTAGGTTTCCATCTTGGGTGAAGAGTTACAGGGAAAGATGGTATACAATCCATCGACTGCTAATTGACGATGATACCTTAGAACCAATGGGCAAGTCTGGGAGCCAAAAGGGGACGTGGGGCAAACTGGCGAATGGGCGAGGAAAAGGGGCCTAGGCAACCCTACTCGGTTTATGCTAAGCGAGAATGGAATGAGGCCTCATGGAATATCCGTCAAGAATTATAAAGGTAATGGTTCATGGTCGCTTTCTCCTTCTGGCCGAACAGCAGAACTATTGAGGAATTTGGGCTCTGTGCTTGAAAGTAAGTCTACACGCCGGGTCCCTCAACACTTTGTCAAACCCGCGACACTAGTAAGAGCGACCAGAAATAATCTCCGAGCACTCAAATTTCACAGATCATGGGAAAGACGTTTGGCAGAAACCAGCCCGAAGGAATAGAGAGGTTGAGCTCACAATAGGTAAGTGTATTGACACGTGATACACCGGCTCGTCCCAAAGCGGATTCCCGAGGGCGAATGTGGGGATGGAGGGGGTATAAGTAAGATTCTGGTGCTCTCCCACTTCTCAACCTGAAGCTGGCCTCAAAATCCTACTGTCGGTTAACTTTTAGTTGGCGTTTAAGAAAGAGCTGTCCAGTGTATAATCCGAGTTGACTCTTCGCCATCATTTTGCATATCTGGAATCTTCACTCGAGACTCAAGGCGTTGTGAAGATCCAAGTCAAGCCGAGGATTAGCTCGTCTCACTGCCACAAAGATTCCTCAGATCCGTCTATCTTTGATCCGAGAACCTTGAACGTCATCCACATCCGAAAGATCATCATGTCAACCAAGCACTACTTCCCCGACACAGCAGTCAACACCCTCGTCCCGAGCTTCCTCTCCTCTCTCGTGCGGGCAAACCCTAGGTTGACCCTCCTTCCCAGCTACCGCGTAGTCCTCAACTCCACTGCCTCTCCGTCCCACGTCTCCCTCATCTCAGGAGGTGGCAGCGGCCATGAGCCTGCGTGGTCTGGATATGTAGGCGATGGACTACTGGCGGCGGTGGCGTGCGGAGACATCTTCGCGAGTCCGAGCATGAAGCAGGTTTTGGCTGCGATTGCGAGTTGTCCCAGGAAAAAAGGGGTGATCCTGCTGATCACGAATTATACAGGAGATAAGTTACATTTTGGCTTGGCTGCTGAGGTGAGTTGATCCCAATTCCGTTCTCTTTTTCATGCTTGGTAGATCAGCCACCCAGCTTCTGATGTGTGGTTAGATGAGCGAGCTGATGGTTCGTGTAGAAAGCGATGGAGAGGGGGTGGGTTGAAAGGGGAAAGTGCGTGGTGTTGCCCGCCACAGATGATGTTAGCATCGGGAGGAGTCAGAGCGAGAAGGTTGGACGGAGAGGACTTGCTGGGAACGTGATCAGTAAGACCCCTCGGCTCTTCCCTTCGCCACTTTAAACTCTGGGCGAGCTTGATTAACCGACATCACCATAGCGATGAAGGTTCTGGGTGCAGCAGCCGCTCAGGAATACAGTTTTGAGCGTCTAGTAGAAATCGGTAAAGCAGTAAACGAGCAACTGGTCTCCATCGGGTCGGCGCTTGACCATTGTCATGTGCCTGGACGACAGAACCACGATAATATTGGGGAGGATGTCTGTGTCGTGGGAGCTGGGATCCATAATGAACCTGTAAGCCTAGCCCTACATGCCTCGAGCACGATTAATGCTGATGCGATAAAGGCTGTTGAGAAAGTCTCACCGATTCCCTCAGTAGAGGACCTAATCTCTAGGCTTCTGGACTTGATATGCGATCAGAAAGATCCCGAGAGAGCGTTTGTGAAGTTCAATGAGGGCGATGATACTGTGTTACTAATCAATAACTATGGCGGACTGTCGAATCTTGAGCTCGGTGCTCTTACTGAAGAAGTGCTGTCTCAATTAGGTATTTGATCCCTCACCAAGAGACCTTGACTCAGCACAAGCAGGAAGAAATACTCACACAAATAGAGACTAAATGGGACATTCTCCCAACGAAAATCTACTCCGGCCCCTTCGAAACCTCGCTAAACGGACCTGGCTTTTCTGTGACGCTTTGCAACCTAACAATAGCAGCGAGAGAAAGCAAGACGAAAGTTGATGAATTATTGACTTTGCTGGGCGCAGAGACGAAAGCACCTGCCTGGCCAAATGTTCTTGCAAATTCTTCGACGAAAGTTGCAAGCCAGGGGACGCCGGAGGTGGATATCGAAAAACAGGCGCCCGTGGCGGCTAATGAGGATATCACAAGTAAGCATTATTACCATCAAGTATTTTTGCATAAAAGCAGTACTGATATCACACAGTAGATCCCAAGCATCTAGACTCGGCAATTCGAACGGCCTGTAAGCGCGCTATAGACGCAGAACCCAATTTGACAAAGTGGGATATGATAATGGGTGATGGAGACTGTGGGGAGGCTGTAAGAGACGTCAGCAAAGGTACTGCTCCCCCCCTTCCCCTTTCTCCCAATTCCTCCCAACTACATACATATACTTAGAATACCCCAGCAATCCTCAAAATCCTCGATATCGGAACGGCGACATCAGGGTCTGTACAAGAATCCTTGCACGCTATAACGAATGCGGTCGATAATATGGGCGGCACGCTCGGAGCCATCTTCGGCATCTTAATCGCTGCATTCTCTTCGTCTCTCCGCGTGCAAGCTTCCACAACTCAATCAGACAAGCTGATAGATATTTTCGCACCAGCACTCACTCAAGCGGTAGAAATTCTGAAGCAGCACACTAGTGCTAGGGTCGGAGATCGTACGGTCATGGATGTTTTGCTGCCATTTGCCGAAACGATGAATAAGGAGCGGGACTTGGGAGCTGCGGTGGCAAGAGCAGAACAGGCGGCGGAGGGAACGAGGGAGCTGAAGGCTGGGTTTGGGAGAGCAAGTTATGTTGGTGGAGTTGCAGAGCAGGACAAAGTGCCTGATCCTGGGGCATGGGCTCTAATGGAAATGGTAAAGGGGATTTGGGAGGGAGGTAAGGTGTAAGTGGCGCTGTGAGGTGGGCGGAAGTAGATGATGAGAAGTTTTGGACGGAATAAGAAATACATGATGTTGAATACCAAATGGCCTCGTCGTAAGAAACAAAACAAGACGTAGCCATGTGCCACGGGGTCGGATGATCCTGTCATGCCACCTGCAGACCGGCACCGTACATTGTCTCCAAGTTAAATGCAGAAAATACCCAGGAATTGAAAAACCCGACTCGGAGTAAAGAGAAAGAAGATCAATACCTTTGATAAAACCGAAAACACTCACCAGCAACAGGCTGTGGCAGCTCATGTGCCCTAAAATTTATGGCTTGTTTAGCAACCATTGTAGCTTTCCAGGCGTCGTAATAAGGGTTGCGTTCTCATCACTCTTCACCCATGAGTCGTTCTACCATTCCGGAGCCCATCGTATGGCTTTGCTTTCATACGGACTGCATCGCATAAGATATACGTGATCTCCTTTGATCAGCCTTCTGTACGGCCTCTGGGCTTTCAAACCAGATCCGAGACCCCCCAGGTCCATGGGCTCAGCAGGAATCGTAAGCAACCCCCTGTCGTTTTGCCCACCGGTGCCCACCACAATCATCTCAATTACAGCTTCCCGTCATGCTCTCCCGGAAGTCTCTTGACACGCTTCTGTTCCCAGTCGTCCAGATCTTTCGCAGCCAGTCTCTGCACACACCATTAGCACAGACTCCGCATATTTGCTGTTAGCTCGCGTATTGCGAAAGCCCATCCGCCAGACTGATCTATCTTTCGACCGCAGCTCAATGTGCTGTGCAAACTCACGTAATACTCCTCCTTCATATCAACCTTCCGTCCACCCTTCCCAATTCCGAGCTCCTCCTCCTTGCTCATCCTCCGCACCCGGCGATCATGCTTCTCATATCTAATTGCGGTGGCCGGAGTAAGGAAAAAGGATCCTGCCACCATAGTCGCAATGAATGGGAGGCCGAAGAGGAGGAAAGGATGCCGCGTGAGACCGGATCGGTAGCGGGCTGCAATAGTGTTGGCTTCGGCGCTGGAGCGGAATTTCTTGCTCTGAAAGACTGCCATGTGGGCGGCAGGGAAAGCAAGGGTCGGGAATGCGACTTTCTAGAAATCTTGAGGTTGTTCGGGGTCGGTACCGTACTTCATGTGGTGGCACCGGTGGCGACGCAGTGGGACTCGTATGTGGTTCGAACGATGTTGGACTCGACAAAGCAAGGCGCAATGACTATAGGAGAGATTCAAGTACTCAAGTCTTTAAGTCTCCTAAGGAAATCGTAGGCAGTATAGATGCGCGCCCTCCTGTTGTTGCAGTCTGCTTTGAGCCCCGAGAGCGGCAACAAGAGCGTACTGAGGTTGACTGCCCACCCAAAGTCACGTGCTCGCGTGTTAGAGGCAATTTAAACACGCGTCTTCTCCAAGTCTGGATCCTCACTGACAACCCATCAACTATGGCGCCCAAATAATGGCTCCCATCACAAGAAACGGCAGTTATCGACCGAATGGTTATACAAATGTCGATATGGCGGGCTTCAACCCTCCTCCATCGACCATGGCAGCTCAGCTGATTAATGACCTCTCCACCACTGGCAACCAGCCCTCGCGACAAGTAGACGCCGGTAGCCTAGAGATTCTCATGAGCCAAGTTGCTAATGCCGAAACGGAAGCAGCTCAACGCCTAGAAGAAGACCCGGAATTTGTCGAGGATCTCGATAAGAAGCTGGAGCGAAAACACAAACTCATTTACGTCTTCTCACGTGCCCTCTTGGACAGGATCGCCAGCGACGACCCATTTAAGAACGTGACCCAGCTAGTAAAGCAGACCGAAGAAGCTTTGGATCTTTTCCTGGTCACGCTAAGAGAGAGCCCAGAGGTATTGGACTACACTTTACCTGCAGGCGAGCAATTTCTAGGCAGAGGGCAAGAACCGTTGTGGAAATGGTTGTTCCCACGACTCCTGGCATTGCTTGGTCGGAAAGGTTGTGAGAGATTGACGAAGAAGATAAACAATATCTTTCTGCTGTCATATCGGGAATCTGCTCGAATTCCCAGAATGTGGGGTCTGAGTTCGACCTTGTTCCGATATTTGAAAGAGTGTGTCACAAGTACGTATCGTTCTGTGTAAATCAGGCAATTTGCTCACAAAGTTCGATAGCTACTTTGAGCCACCTCGAATTACCGAGCATTCTCTCAAATCACCAAGATTTAAATGTTGCTGTTCTCTTCGATCTTGACGCCTCGCTCTGTTCTGATGACACTCCCAGTCACTCGCCTGGCTGTTCTTACATGATTCGGCACGCCTCTGAAGGCCTTCTCAATGTTAGCAGCATCTTGCTAATCCTGGTCGAGATATCCAAGGCAGCAGCTGTATCCTACGATGCAACAGCAGCATTCCGAGACTACCTGGCTTGGTTGTTAGACTCATTTATTCGAACACTCGAGGTTCGCAACAGATGGAAAGCAAATCCTGCTTTGCTTGGAGCTTGCACGAAGATGAACGGCGCATTCATTAGCTCTCTCGCGGACCTCTTGTCTTCGCTTCGGGACTTTCTGTGGCCTATCAGCCTGAGAAAAGGGTACAGTGCGCTTTCAATTATCTGCGCCGAATTCCTTTCCGAAATCGATGGACTTTCCGAGGAGCTCTGTGTGAGACCAATTTCTAGTGTCTTATTAAACATTGCGGCTATGTGTAGACGGTATGACTCTATATGTAGAGTGGTATCCATTCATCTTGTTCCGGCGATGTCAACTGCTTTGGCCAATGAAGATACATCTGTAGGAATAGTAAAAGACTTCGAGGCCAGTTTTTCCCATCACCATGCCTCAAAAATGCTGACAGTTCTCTAGACAGCATGTACACTTCTATGTCAAGCGTGCGGAGCCTTGTCGGTAGACGAATTCAGAGACCATCTTGGTCTTGGCTTTGAAAATCCTGATCTACTTCTCGAATTCCGCAGCCTGGGACTTGAGGATAACAGTACGCGAGGAAACTCGGAAGACCTGGCCAACGATGGACCACCTACAAAGCGTCGCAGGATCAACAACGACATCAAGCTCTTTGACAAAATTACGGCGGACCTGTACGAGCTGCTCGGAGCTCAGAGAGCAATAGATCTCACTGGACTTAATCAGGTCGCGGGGTGAGGGGATCAATCTCATTCATTTGAGATATGGCTAATTTATATAGTGATTGCTTTGAAGCCCTTTTGGAGACGGATCGATGCAAAGCTATTGAATTACTTGGTCGCATGCCGTGCGCGATTTCAGGGACTTTGACTGTTACTCGTGCTGATGGCAAAACCTTGGATGCCAAGTGCTCCATCTGTGATGGATTGAAGCTTCCATTTTCTATAGAGCCACCCCACGATGCAGAGAAGTGCGATAGACTCGCTGAGGAAGCCACCCTGACTTTTACCAAGCTGATCACGTCTCCTGCATTCCTGGCATCTAAGCGTGTTCGCGTTCTTGCCATGTTTGCTCTACGGAGGTTCGCTTTACACTTCCAGGATCCAGAATTCATTGACCTTGAAGTATCTCCGCTGGGTCAATGGTGTTACTCATCCCTTAAAAGCTCAACAAGAGAGCTAAGATTGGCAGCTGGGTAATTTATCCTTCTTGGTATCAAGGAATATCTACTAATATCATAACCAGTCGAACACTTCCTTTCTTTTTGCGAGGTGCCTCAACGGCGGAGTCCTTGACAAGGAAAAATCGGACTGCCGTAATGGCTTTCCTGCGATCATTGCCAGAGCAAGAAAACATTATCTTTCAAGAGACAGCCGTGCTTGCTTGGGGTCAGATTGCCAGGTAATTGCTAAGAACTTTTGCCCCGAGCAGATACTAATTCTGTGCAGAATCGTGAAAGACGACGAGCTCAACATCGTCCTCCTTGCCTTGATCGGGTATCTCGGACATAGTAACCCTATCATCTCAGGGGCGGCTTTCAGTGAGGTAAACTTCGATGCCCGGGCGGCATGATGAATCGCTTTGCTAATAGGCTTTGCAGATCCCTAGAATCGCAAAAGCAGCCGACCTGACTGTCGAAAAACTTCTAAGCTCTTTCTGGAGCAGCGTCGCTACGGCAGCTGTCACAGATCTTCTCGTTAAGCCACAAACGGCCCAACTCATAGCTGACTTGCTTGGCATATCAGTCGCTCAGTTTCTGGTGCTTACTCAATCGTATACTCTTCCCTTCCTGGTCTTGAACCAAAAATTCGACGTTATAAAGAAAATCAGCGAGGCTCGACTAGACGGTGATAACTATGCTGTTTGTTTGGATCCATCAAACCTAGCCCCAATCCTGGCGCTTCTCCTTGTTCAAAATGTGCCAGATCTCGACTCTTACATCATGGGGTTGCTACGACGCGTTTCGAGCGAGTTCAAAGGCCTCGACTTGGGAGACTTGACTACAGTAGAGCCCATGTATCAGGCCTTGTATTTGCTCAAGGCTGCTGGCCAAGCTGACGAGAGTCAAAAGTCCAGAGTAAGTCTACTTTTACAAAAGACCGAGTTCAGCCTTTCTGACTCTTTCAGATTCGATTTGCATTGCAATTTTTAGCAACTCGGGGAAGCGAGAATCAAGGCTCGAAGAAAAACAGCGTCACGGGGATTTTCTTGAAGCAGCATCTACTGGGAATTGTCGCTCGCATTGTCGACGTTATTAGCGCCGCCAAAGATGAGCAGATGATGACCGAGAAGGAGCGGTCTGTCAAAGCGATCGAGGAGCTAGTGAAGCTGGCACAAAAACACGCAAGGACTGCACGACCTCAGGTACAGCTTTACAGCACACCCTCCTAGATACGAAATCTGACATCTTCTAGCTATGTGCCTGCCTTCAAGTAGCATTTGAGCATCCTGAACTGCAAGCCTGCGCTTTTTCGGCCTGGGAATCAATGCTTAGGTATCTAGGAGACGATGATGTCGAGACAATGCTTGAGAGCACATTTTCGCTCATTATCCAGCATTGGAAGACCTTCAACACGGAAACTCGGGCACGTGCCGAAGCGACGCTACAGTATCTCAACGAGTCTCGGGGTCGCCTTATCCGCAATATGATTTTTAACCTTCCGTCACTATCTGGTATTAAGGAGCTGGCGGACGTAGAACGCAAAATCAGCAGGCAGAGAACACCGACGGATGTCAGCAACGGCTTTTTGATCTTCAAACGCAGGCTCGGGCATGAAGATCCTGGAGTAGTCGCGCAGACACTTGTCGAGCTGAAAGCCTATCTTCGACTGAATCAATCATTTCTCCAGACTTCAGCAGTCAGTGAGCAACCCGACCTCGTGGTCGGGCAGCTCGTGCGTTCTATATTGGACACTTGTGTCAAATACAATGAATGGCAGAATGACATTGCTGTACTTTCCGCTGAATGTCTTGGTCTCATCGGATGCCTAGACCCTAACAGGGTTGAATCGGTGCGAGAACGCCGAGAAATGGTCGTGGTCAGCAACTTTCGCGATCAAAATGAAGCGACAGATTTCGTCCTTTACATCTTGCAGGAGGTCATTGTGCCCGCGTTCCTGTCGGCTAAAGATCCGTCTCTTCAGGGTTTCTTTTCGTATGTGATGCAGGAGCTTCTCGAGAAATGCAATTTTAAAGATGTTGTCGGCGACATCTTGAGGACTGGGGAAAAAAAGAGCACCGAACCGCTCTACCGAAAATGGGTGGCTTTGCCGGTACGGATTCAAGAGATCCTAACGCCTTTCCTTACCTCAAAGTACAGCCTGGCGCCGATGGAGATGCCAAAGTATGAGTACCCAATATTCAGACCCGATGCAATGCCTCCTCAGAAGCTTTATAACGCCTGGCTCCGAGGATTCACGCTGGATCTGTTGCAAAAGCCATTTCATTTATGCACTCAACTTATTTTTCCTCCTCTGTGCCGAGCCATCAGGATAAAAGACGTGTCGGTCGCCAGCTTCATACTTCCCTATTTGGTTCTTCATGCGATTATTGACGGTACAGACAAGAATCGAGAAGATATTGGGGCGGAGTTGCTCTCCGTACTCGAATACGATATTCCGGCAGATTCTCCAATACGAAGAGAAGATATGAAGTCGTGCGTTGAGGTATGTTATCTCTTTCCCATATGACTTTGCTGATTATTTTAGACCGTCTTCCGTATTCTTGACTATCTCGCTCGATGGATGCAAGAGAAACAGGTTAAGGCATCCTCTCGCGGCCAAATTGCACCTGAGGCTGAACACGAAATTCTGCTGGTCAAGTCGGTCGTCGAAACCATCCCTCCCGAGCTTATATCTCATCGAGCTATTCAGTGCGAGTCATATTCCAGAGCCTTATTCTACTGGGAGCAGCATATCCGGGATGTCCGTGGACGAGGACCTATTAATCCGGACGTCAACACTGCGCATTTGCAACGATTACAAGACATATACACGCAGATAGACGAGCCTGATGGGATTGAAGGCATATCTGCACACCTGCATGTCTTGGACATCGATCAGCAAATCCTCGGCCACCGAAAAGCCGGTCGGTGGACAGCAGCTCAGAGTTGGTATGAGATTCAGCTGGCAGAAACACCCGAAGATGTTGACGTTCAATTGAATCTTCTGACATGTTTGAAAGAGTTGGGGCAGCATGGTAGGTACCCTCGGCCCTTATCGGAAAGTTGATAGCTAACGTATGCAGATGTTCTCCTAAACTACGTGGAAGGGATGCATAACGCCTCGCAGACCGTCTCAAAGCTGCTTCCATTCGCAGCTGAGGCTTCTTGGGCAACGGGAAGGTGGGCTACACTTGCCAAATACTCGTCTTTAGCACCACCTGGTATCACTGAGGACTTCAATGTCAACGTGGGCCGAGCGCTCTTGGCTTTGCATGCGAAAAACACGGATCTTTTCAAGTCAAGGGTTGCTGCGCTCCGGGAGAAGATAGCGCGTTCCGTGTCAAACGCAACCACTTCTTCTCTAGGTACCAGCCATGATACAATCCTCAAATTCCATGTGCTTACCGAGCTGGAAATGATTGCCGGTGCCGATAATAATGTTGCCGCCCCTGACATATTAGAGTCTTTGAATCGAAGACTCGAGGTCATTGGAGCTTTTCTCAATGACAAACAATACTTACTGGGGATCAGGAGAGCTGCAATGCAACTCTCCGGGTATGTTATTCCCTGAGTGTGAAATTTTACGCACTGCTAACTTCATGCAGCTTGGAATTTAGTAAGGGTGATATTGCAGCAGCATGGCTTACCAGTGCTCGACTGGCTCGCAAAGGGAATGCCATGCACCAGTCCTTCAATGCTGTTCTCCACGCATCCCAGCTTGGTGATCAATCAGCTATGATTGAGCATGCAAAACTACTATGGAAGGAGGGCCATCATCGTAAAGCTATCCAGAATTTGCAAGGAGCCATCCAGAATAACGCGTTCTTTTCCCACAACAAAACATATCAAGCTACAAGCTTCACTACCGATAGTGATAAGCCAAACCAACAAAATCTTCTCACTGCGAGAGCACACCTTCTGTACGCAAAATGGCTGGATAGTGCAGGACAGACACAATCGTCCACACTAAGAGTCCAGTATCAGCTCGCTGCCAAAACCCATTCGGCATGGGAGAAGGGTCACTACTATCTCGGGAGGCACTACAACAAATTGTTGGAGTCGGAAAAGGCTCTCCCTCCTGATCGTCAAAACGATACTCTCCTTACAGGGGAAACAGCGAAACTAGTCATCGAGAACTACCTACGTGCCCTTACATACGGAACGAAGTATCTGTACCAAACCCTTCCGCGAATTTTGACACTTTGGCTGGATCTTGGGTCACAGGTTCAGACGCCGGTTAAGCATGGCACAAAAGAGTATGCTGCAAAGATCAACGAGCTACGTAAAGGCCATCTCGATGGAATCCACCTGCGCTTCAACAAGTACATCACCAGAACACCAGCGTATATGTTTTACACGGCGTTACCACAGATCGTCGCTCGTATCGCTCATTCGAACAACGAAGTATACAAGTACTTGCAAACTATGATTCATAAGGTCGTATCTACATACCCGCAACAAGCCCTATGGACTTTACTCGCAGTCTGTACGTCCACTCAGTCGGATCGTAGAACTCGCGGAGGGAGTATCTTACAAAATTTGAGATCAGCGAAGAAACCCGATTCCAACATAGATATCAGGGCACTGATTAAGAACGGCGAGAAACTCACGGAGCAACTTCTCCTAGCATGCAACTCCGGGGACTTTCAAGGGAACCGGACTACAACTGCAAGCTTGACGAAAGACCTGGGATTCATTTCGAAGCATTGCTTACCCAGCCCTCTCGCAGTCCCCGTCGAAAGTGTTTTGACAGCCACACTTCCGACTCTCACTGATAACATCAAGACGCACAAGGCGTTCTCTCGTGATATTGTTACCATCGAATCGTTCCTGGATGAAGTCTTGGTGCTGAGTTCTCTCCAAAAGCCTCGAAAGCTTACCGCCCGTGGCTCGGACGGCAAGACCTACGGAATTATGTGCAAGCCAAAGGATGATCTTCGAAAAGATCAACGTCTTATGGAGTTCAATAGTATGATCAATCGATCACTCAAGCGTGACGCTGAATCGAGTAGGCGTCAGCTCTATATCAAGACTTACGCCGTCACCCCGCTCAACGAAGAGTGCGGTCTTATCGAATGGGTGGATGGTCTCAAGACCCTTCGGGACATCCTTCTTGGACTCTACAGAGCAATCGGCGTGGCACCCAACTATAACGAAATCGCTCTTTATTGCGAAGAGGCGACCAAATCCGAAGACAAGCTACCCTTCTTCACGGAAAAGGTGCTGGGTATATTCCCGCCCATGTTCCACCGCTGGTTCGTAGCACAGTTCCCTGAGCCATCAGCATGGTTCGCCGCTCGCCTCCGCTACACCCGCTCCTGCGCTGTGATGTCAATGGTCGGTACGATCCTCGGCTTGGGCGATCGTCACGGTGAAAACATTCTCTTCGAAGAGGGCAACGGCGGGACCTTCCATGTCGACTTCAACTGTCTGTTTGACAAAGGCCTCACGTTCGTCAAGCCCGAACGCGTTCCTTTCCGCTTAACGCACAACATGGTTGATGCAATGGGGATGTATGGGTACGAAGGCCCGTTCCGCAAGTCCTCGGAACTGACCCTCAAATTGCTGCGCCAACATGAGGAGACGCTGATGACCATTCTGGAGTCGTTTGTGTATGATCCCACCCTGGACTTGTTGACGAGCAACGTGAAGAAGAGAAAGAAGGACGGCGTGCCGCAGACGGCGCAGGGCGTGCTGGATAGCATCCAGCGAAAGGTCAAGGGACTGTTGCCGGGGGAGAGCGTACCGTTGGGGGTGGAGGGACAAGTGGACGAGTTGATCAAGATGGCGACGAACCAGACCTATCTGGCGGGTATGTATATTGGCTGGTGCTCGTTCTTCTAATAACGGCGCTGCGTGGAGATCTCGGCGCACTTCTTGTTTGATCCTGGATTCGTGAGTACGTTTTTGGAAACATGACTCATGACATATGTAGTTATTTATTTTCCTCGACGGCCAAGTCGTCATCACCAAAAAAAGTCAGCGGGGTGAAGATGGCGTCCTTTTGATTAATATGACCCGTTTTATGCTGTCTATTTTCCCATTGTCATTTGACTCTGTTGGGGATCATTCCCGAGGGAACGCTGCCGGGCTAGGAATTGGCGTCACACCCCGATCCTCACACCACTTCTTCGCCAGATTTTGTATCGATTGTTAGCCTACTAGACAATCAATTTGGTGCGGTGAGTTCCAGAAACTTTTCCATGATCAGAAAATGGCTCTTGATATCTCTCGCAAACTTAGTACTTGTAAGGACCTTCCATCTGCTTAAGATTCTACGGAAAAAATTGTCTTTGGAGTCAATCCAGTTTCTGAGCCTGGCTCGACTATGCATCGTCCAAGGATAGTTATCATTCAGTAGTTCGAGCGAAACAATCGTTTTCATCTCTCCATTTCTCTCGATGTAAATGAAAGTGATCACAAAGGACAATGTATACGCTGGCTATTTTTACGTGAGAATATAGCACTTTGGTACAGTAGACTGCGAAACGTAGCACCGAGATTCGGACAGGATGCTGATTGGAATCATTGTTTTCGGGCGTGACAGTTTCCTGGATTCTGTGCGAGTCTGATGCAACCGGTTCTTTTTTATCTGACCTTGGAGACAGGAGATATGAATAAAATCCAGGTAATTCTCAAGTATAAAGGATGATATGCAGCGACACTAGTGAGCACAAACAGTAACGGAGGAGAGGGAAGGAACGTTGCGGATGACACTAGTGAGGTCGCCCTTTGAAAAACGGCCTGGGACTACTTACAATAGTAGAGTGCATCTTAAAATAGCTGGTCTGATAGAAAATGATAGACATTTCTTGGGTTTGCTTGTACAGGTAAGTGAATAAATGATACACCCACGCTTAAGGTGGACTGACCTGATCAAGGTACAAAAGGCATATCTCCTAGCCGTGACTTTCCACCCTCGTGGCGACAATAACTGTTATCCCTATCAACGCCAAAAATACTCGAAATACATGAAACCTTCGAGCAAGATGATATCTGCAATGGCCGCGCTCGTCATCGACGCCCATCTTCGTGATCATCCCACCCAGCCTCCTACCATGCCTGACAGCAATGCTACAAAACCAGCATGCACGCCCGGTAGTCGCTCAGAGGCCAGCACACCCACGAGCGCGTCAGAGGTCTGTACTCCCACAGATAGCCCTGAGCTCAAGCCAGAGCTCGTTCCTGACATCAAAGCCGACACCGAGTTGAGCATTATCGAGCGCGAGTCCACTACCACTACACCCGTGTCAACTTCGGCGAAGGATATTCCAGCTATTCCCATCTTGTCTCACACACCAGAGCAGATCTACAAGTCCAAGCCGGTCATTCTTCACGAGCTCGAGCTCAAGACGGAGATGAAGACTATAGAGCCGGAGAGCAGTACGCAGGTTCCAGATCCGGTGCCTGAACCTCCACGGGTTCGCCCGACGCTACCACCAAAGGCAGATACAGACACTGCATTTGAGGTCAAGAAACAGGAGCAGCGCAGATGGCAGGGGATGTATGATAGGAATCGCGCTGCGAACCCTGGTGCGGTGCAAGGGGGAAAATGAGGTGCTGGGCAGCAGAAAGGCAACGGAGTAATGGCGAATAGGGAGTTGGATGGAATGCGTTTCATTAGGATTTCATTGCGGGATATGGTGGTCTAGAATGGACTACGGCTAGTAATAGACAATCAAAATATTTCTTTTGGATTGTGTCCTCGATGCTAAAGGTGATGCGAAGATCAATCTGACGTCCATCAGACTTCTGGATAGTATTATTCTAGAGTAGTTCTAATGAGGGAAGTCCAGATCTTGCTAATGCTGAATGGTATATGATCTCAGAACATACCCACGACGCAGAAAGACTACTATCTAAAATTCCAAGATAGCGATATATGGAATTGGAAAAGCAGTCCAGTGCAGGATGATATTGTCACGTGCTGCATTAAGTAAAGGCTTTAGAGTTCCAGCCATTGATCAATTTTTTGACTTCAAATGAAATCTTATCTGACTTGATGATTCAAAGAGATTGTAGATCCAAAAACAAAATAAATTAAAACAACCGTGTAATGACGTAATTGAATCTGTATAAACGCGTCTCACCAGCGTAAAAGACTCCTTACCTGGAGCCTCAACCCGCCAGCCTCGATTGTTCTTCCTACTATCTCTAGCGACATCCAGATCAAACCGTTAAACCCTTAAGATGTCTGCGGCAGATGCAAAGATCGTCAAGACAGAGCCCTTGGTCGGTTTATGCCTTCGCAGCTTCATCTCCTCTCTGCTCTTGCACAGACAGCTAACACCCCATCTCGCAGGACCCCTCCAAGGCCAAATGGCTCCGAACAATCCTGTATAAACAAGCAAGCCTCTGCCTATCATATCCGCGATTGCATATCTGACAGGGCCTCGCGAAATAGCACGATATACACCGACCCTCTAGGCAAGACACGAACGTGGGAGCACGCGGAGCGGCCTACACGTCCTCAGGGCTCGGACATTGATGCTGTAGGCATTGTTGCAGTCCTCGAGACGGAGTCCGGTGCGTAGACACCCCCGACGGCCTGACGGGAGAGCACAACTCGGGACTTGCTAGATGTTGCGGAAAGTGACGCAGGCGATGAAAGATTAACAAATACTCCGTATGGAGGGAGCGATTTTGAAGGCGGTGCTGATATCTACGCGAGCGAATCAGGTCCTGAATTGCTGCTGCAAAAACAGTACCGACCACCGGTTAACAAAGTCTGCATTGAGGTCCCGGCTGGATTGGTTGATGCGGGCGAGACGGCTGAACAAGCTGCGGTTAGAGAGCTGAAGGAAGAGACGGGATATGTTGGGGTTGTGAGCGAGTCTAGCCCGGTGATGTTCAATGGTATGGCCACTCTCACGCATATTCAATATTCTTCCTGTACTCATATTAACATTACGCTACGACGGTGTCGGTTTCTAACATTACAACAGACCCCGGCTTCTGCAACACGAATCTTCGCATGGTTCATGTCACAGTCGACATGTCCAAGCCTGAGAACAAGAAGCCCCAGCCAGAACTGGAAGGTGGAGAGTTCATCGAATGTTTCACGGTCCCGTTGAAGAAGCTCTATGCTGAGTGCAAGAATTTAGAAGGGCAGGGCTTTGCTATTGATGCTCGAGTTGCTACGCTAGCTGAGGGTATTGAGATTGCGAAGCAGTGGAAGCTGTGAATCTGCCTTCTCTAGGAGCCCAGGTATGTCCATACATGAATAATGATATTTTAAGTGGAGAAAGGTTGTAGAACTACCTACTAGACTCTTATATGGCCAAGTCGGTCATCATTGCCACAATCGACCCACTGATCCGACGTCTCATTAGCAACAAAAGGACCGGAAAGCAATACCTTTTTAAGACCTTGATATACCTAGCCCGCTGTATGCCTTAAGTTCTGGTCCGATGCTACTCGGAGATCGCTCGGCCCCTGGCTATATACAACTACATCCCACAGCGATCAGCCATTTGTCCATCTAGGTAGGCAACAAAATCTTCTCTCGGCTCACATTCCGTTGCTTTCAAGTCGTATGACCCGCTCCTCAACATGCTTCATCGCAACATCCGGGAACCCAACAACAGGTGCGTGGTTTCCCATACCACCACCCGTCTTTCGACCGAAGTCTTTGACAGAAGATATGGTCCGGAAGCCTTGTGTGGCCGTCACCTACAGCCTCAACACCGAATTTTGGACTGGCCAAATTTTCTTCTATGGTATATTGTGCTCACAGCTTCATCCACAATGGTACTGGCCACCATCCCCTTCAGTGCAGCCAGCGATTCGATGCATCTGTTTTTGAGAGATCGATTACGGAGTTACTATACTAATCGTCATTCTTAAAAGATGAATAGAGGCCCACCTAAGCGAGCCGACGATTAGTAGACAGCTCAAATCTTGGTACCATGTTTTCAAGTCACGTTGGCTACGTACTTGTACCGCTAGCTTCGTAGCCTACACGGAGTGATGAAAAGGCAGAAAATTTCATTGGCAGCTTCATTGATTTTACTGTACAACTATTTAAATCTACAACATATAAAGGCCAGCATATCTCTTCTTCAGACGCTTTAATCACCTCGGCACATCTCTTCGTCGGACGCTTTCCTCACATCCCAACAATTACAATGTAATCCACAGACTCCAAATACAAAATGAGCGGTCTCATGAATATCCTGCTCATCGGGCGAGGCGGTCGAGAAAGCGCACTTGCCCTCAGCTCCCCCAGTCTTCTCAGGTTAGAAGGATTTTCGTGGCTCCAGGTAACGGGGGCACAGCAGCAGGCATCGATCGACAAGGTCTCTGATATCGATGGAACAAGCGAAGATGGTTTTCCGGGACTTGTCCAACGGGCCAGAGACATGAGCATAGATTTGGTCATCCCTGGTCAAGATTCTCCTATTGTTAACGGAATCGAAGGATCAGTCCTCTGCCGTTGTCATTGTCTCCGCTGGTGGATATCCAGGAAAGTACGCAGGCGACGACAAGATCAATATGGGGCACCGGCATTCAGTGAAAGGTACCCTTCCCCTGGAAAAGATCATCGTTGAATTATTATATTGAGATTTTGGCAGCATCGACTGGCGAACTCGGCTTCTCCTACGCGGGCAAGGCGCTTTGAGAGAATGGCGATCTTGTCACTGCTGGCGGACGTGTTATTGCGGTCTCGGCTGCATGTCTAGCCTACCAAGGAGTTGCATCGATCAAGTTCAAAAACATGCACTACAGGAAGGACATAGCGTACAGGTAATTCTTGTGTCCCTCTTTCAAAGTGCCCACCACTTTCTGACACGTACATATAGGGCTCTCTGATTATATCTGTGTTGCATACGGGCAACGGGTCAAGAAAACATGCTGGGGCTATATAGCAGATCTGGCCGCGAGAACCCGGATTTCGTGACCGCCGTGTTTGGTGAATCGACGGGAAAGCAAATGTTCGTTTGAGGTAATCAATAATAAAATATGAAGCTACCGAGGCATTCAAATCATATTCATATTTGTTATTTCCATTTCGTCAAACCAAGCTTACTTATCTCGACGAGCTTTGCTAAATCAACTCCATCATCTTCATCTTCTTCTCTGCCTCCCTTCCGGTGAGCTGCGAGGTCGCTTGTAAGGCTGGCTTTGAAGGCTTTTAAGATTAAACGCTACATCAATTTTCTATAAGGAATGCACTTTGAAATTGTATATTTAAAAAAAAATGTAAACGCTGCCCGGCCCGAGCGAGGTAAAACCTCCGGCCTTCCGCAAGCTACGAGGTAAGTTCGCGATCAATCGATTTGAGTATGAAATCCCGTGTATTCTTGTAAATAATCAATCTCTTGTAGCTCAAGGCCGCCCGCCTTCGAGCTGCTTTTCGGGAACCTAACTCTCTTATATGTTTTCTCACGGTAACGCTTTTCCTTCCACCCTTGCTCGCCCGCAACTTCACTTCAATTTTCGTAATAGCTCCCGTAAGCCCGTACGTATTTTTCTAGCTTAGTCTTAGCTTGTAAGACTTCTCCTTCGAACATATTGCAAGCGTAATTCGAAAGCGCTTTGCGTTCCCGATGTATCGAGCTAGTAAAGAATCGACCGGAAAAAAAGAAAAAAATAATAATAGAAGGATCGCGCATCTACGCGCAACCAATCCGTAGAGTAATAGCGAGCAGTATCGTCCCTTCATCAGCTCTGGTATGTGTCCGTAAAATCCGCAACCGATTCCGCTAAAGCTTCCGTGAATCGCTTCGAATTCAGCTGATGCCTCTTGAAGCCCCCCGGCTACTTGCCACCTCGCAGACCGTGTAATACTGACCGCCACCGTCCGCACCGTGGTCACCCGCGTCGTGCACCACTCGGGCTTTTCCAGAAGTCTGAACGACGTCAAGAGAAGAGGAGTGGAGCTCATCTTGGCGGTGAAGTCGGGGGCTGGGGAGGCTAATAAGGAAGGCCAATTTACCGCCCGCTGAAGCTTTTCCAGGTCTACTTGAACGTCCTTCTCAATCTGGTATGGCTTCTCATGTACCATTCAGACAAGCAATCACGGCGACGAGCAACAGCCATGACTCGCTTGAGAGGAGCTCTCTAGAACCGCTTTTCACTGCTTAGATTGCTTTCATTTAAATACCGACGTACCTACTCTATTTTGCATGCCAAGTCGTCAGTGCGAAGAGGCGCTAGACGCGTCTTGGCTTTCGCAACCGCCTCTTAGCGTCGATTTCGGCTCCTCTATCACTCCATTCATTGATTGTACGATCTCAGCTCTCTTGTGGGTTGCTTTTCCCCTGTCAAAACTGACCCTCTTTTTCTTCCGTGGTTCAGACTTCTGGGGAAAAAAAAAGAAGAAGAAAAAAAAAAACGACTAGCGGCTATAACGGCTGCAGCGGCTGCTCGCCGAGTTCAAGAGATATCATCTTATTATCGGGCTTTGTTCGAGCTCCTACCGCGTCTCCACCCCTTCTTGAACTTCTTGAACGTCGGGATGTGGCCACTGAGTTTCTCGTGCATGGCTACAGGTGCAATGTTGTTCCCCGGCGGCGCTTGTTTAATCAGAGAGCAGCAGCAGAACTAACCCGTCCGATGCCGCGCATAACGTCTGAAATGTTCTCGCGGCTTTGGCGTCATCTGAACCGCTGGGAGAAGCGGTGGATATTGCCTACCAGCATACCCATTCAAACTATTCTACTTGAGGATGTGATTTTAATTTTTGGTCAGATACTGGAAGTAGTCAAGTAGGGACTCGCGCGAATCGCTGTTCTCAGGTAGTGAAGTAACGTGTCCCGGGCTTCACATGAAATACAGAGACGGCTTAGGATTAAACTTGTGGAGGAAGAGGATGGTTGTTGGCAGGAAGTGAAGTGCATTGAATTGAAGTGATGTATAACTTTCAGAAGCGTTACATACGATATGGAAAGGAGATAGACTATCTATTAGCTAGAAGGAAATCAAAGACTGTTTTTACATCAGATGGAGAACGAATCTTTTAAACCCTCAGTCCTTCATGGAATTTCCGAACCAGCTCTAGAATTGGCGTGAATTGCTCCGCAATACTACGATCGAATACAGTTCATCGTATTACTTCTTCCTCATATCCCATCTACTCCTACATACGCACGTTTCCAGGCTTCCGGCTAAATTGGGAATTGGACCGGTGATTCTAACAACAATCAATGATCAAGAGAGAGAGAGAAAAAACAGTGTCATCAGGAAGATGAATCTAGGTTGAATCATGACTCTTTGATCCATTACTTCGTAGAGCATTAGGAGCTATTTTATCTCGTACACAAAATCTGTCCGCAAATATATATAGATACAAGAATGATAATTGAGAATCAATAGTCAGCTCCGCTTTGACTGGCGCCAGAAGCAAGGTCCAATTTGCCCGCTGTGAGGCGTGCGGAGCCGGGCGTCTCTAGTTCAAGTATCCCTCACCGAGACATCTCTTGATGGGATAGTCATCACCGACGCAGACACTGATAGAGCCCTGAACCCAGGAGAGACCTTGCTGGTCGTTGCTGAAGTGCTGATCGGCAGACCAGTTGGAGGCGGTTTGGTGACCAATGCAGCCCTTCATGAGGAGACCGCTGCGGCGGTAGACACGCGGGTTCTTGGATCATAGTCAGCAGAGGGTCCGGGACCACCTATGTATGGATCGGGGATGGTCTGAGAGATGTTGGGCCCTGCTGGTGGTGGTGGGAGATGGATCTCCGGGCAGGGCGTCCCAACGTGGGGTGGGTAGCGATAGAAGAGATGGAGATTGTACTTACGCTCACCACCATGCCCCATTTGCCATGCGGTATGCTGCCCTGGTAGGCGGTGGAAAACTCCGAGGTCCACTCCTGGGTGTAGCTGATACCCACACTGGCAGAGAGGAATTCTGCCACGAAGCTGATGTCCGTTGAGGTGCTTACACTGACGCTGTCCGAGACGGTGTAGCCAGCAGTGACGGAAATTTGGAGAACTGGCGGAATTGGAGTCATTAGCTACTATTCAAGATGTCGCCTGGGAGGATTTCATCCAGTCTCTAGAACGGACTGGATAGAAAGAGGATGCCGAATTTTCTGTGGGAGTCTTACCGCCTTCTCCAGTAGCGTGTGCAGCTGAAGACATCGGGATGTCCCAATCCAAGAAGTCTTGGTCGGGATATCTGATGAGTATGTCTTCTTCCTTGCAGTCACGTTTGTCGAGATTCGCGCGAGCTTCGGCCGGCCCGGCCACTACAGGATGATGGTCGGTTTCGTAAGATCGAGGGCGGCCGACGAAGGTGTTGGTTCTTGCTAACTCGGCATGGTAGTCCGCACGGGGGATGACCTCGTGGCGACCGTTTGCTCCGTAGACAATGACTTCGTCGGGCTTGAGTAAGCGTGGCTTAAGAGCAGCTGCGCTAGCCGAGGAAGCGGCTGCCAGGGAGATTGAGAGGAGGGACAGAATGTACATGGCGGTACTGATTAAAAGAATGGGAATGGTAGGAGAGAGATGAGTATTAGAGAGGTGAATGGGTATCAGGGAGGTGGGTGGTGAGCTTCCAAACAGGCGATCGCAGCATGGTTTATATGTCTACAGACGACGAATCTCATCTTTCTGGACGGCTCATATATGGCTTGGCAACCGAAATCTTCAAGCCCTTATCCGTATGAATAGGGGTCCTACGACTCTTCATCTGTACGGAAGAGGTGTACGTGCCGTACGAACCTTAAGCTCTCTGACTCTACGTATAGTAGTACTAGTGCTTCAGAGAGTTTAGATCGCCGGAATAAGATTAATCGAACAGCTGCGGTCTTCGAGAACACTTTATTTTAGCGGAGAGTTCGAACCTTCTTTCTGATCTCGACCACCACGCTGGCTAACGATTACGTCGCTACAGCCTCCAGGCCTGATAACCACTCTTGAGGGGCTTTGGAACTTTAAAGTAAAGCCCCACAATAACCCCTCCTCGTTTCAGACCCTCGAAGATACGATATTAAGCATGTGGCCAAGTATATCCACTGGGAATATTAAGAAGATTTGCGGGAAACAAAGAGAGAAGTGGCAAAAGATACTACCTACTCCGTACGTAAGAGAAAGCACTTTCGGAAAGCGCTTCATAATAGAGTAAGCAAGACCGACTCGACGTCGACGCAGACTACGAACGCGAGCTTTCCATCGGCGAGGGCTAAGTCTAGACTCTACACCCGCTAGGTAAGTCTACACCAACTAGCCCGATTTGGCTGAGTTGGCACAGGGTCAGCTCGGAGAATAGGTACTTGTACCTGGCTTGTACAGTACAGTAGCCCGAAATTGATGCAAGTCCAGGTATATAATTCTCCGAGGATCGAATGTGTGCAGTACATATTCTCCGAGGATCGAATGAAACCAGTTGTATTCTAACAACGTTTCCAAGTTTCATTCTTTAAACAAACGCAGTTATTCAATATAGATTTGACGATAGTAAAGGTGGCGTAGTGAACAGAATGAAAGAAGCGACGACGAGGTCGAGTTATCGAATATCTGATAAAGACGATTTACAAGACAGACAAGGTTTCCCAAGTAGAAGATCCTCGCTTAGTAGCCTTAACGCTCAGCTGATGCAGGGCGCATGCTTGGCCGACAGTGCAAATCGCACCTACAGGTGTATACCTATTTAACCATAAACGTTAATAAGCGAGAATCTTCGTATTAGGAAAAAATTTCTCTTTTCGTCAAAATGATCTCTTTTAGATATTCGATGATTCAATCTCGTCGCCGCTCATTCCATTCACTCCATTAACGTACTGCCTTTTTAGTTGTCAAAGTTCTATAAATAGATTCTGAACGCTTTAGATTCTTGAAGAGATACTACGTACTTACCATTCCCCCCCCCTACGAACACCAATGTAGAGCGGTCATGTATGCCCTCTTGTTTTGACCCATTACGGAAATTAGCTTAGTCGAGCAATACTCTTACGGTCTTCGCTTTGTATCGCTGAACGCGATACCCGCTCCAATCTTTATTTTTCTTATTCTCTACTTCGTACGACATGTTACTATTAATAGGCTGCATCGCGTTCAGCGACACGAAGCGAAGGACCGTAAAGATATTGCTTGGTTAAACTAGTTCACGTAGTACCGGTAGGTCAAAACAAGGTGTAGTAGGTACTACTACTATCGGTACGTATGACCGCTGTACCTCCGCACATATTGAAAAGTATAATTTTGCTAGGGCTCTTATCTTAAAGGCAGGTGGAGGGTCATTTGAACGGTTCTCTGACCTTTTCTTTAAGATGACGTTTATTAGACTGTTTCAAGTAAATGCTAATCTCTAGATAGGAGTAGTTTAATTCTTTAAACGTCACTAAGCTTTAGACCTTTCTACGGAGTAAGACTGTCTCACAGCCGTCCCCGTCCAATTGTTTAGAACTGGTTTCTTTGAGAGCTCGTTCTACTACTAAGATCTTAAAAATGATCTATTGACCGTTTGAATCGAAGTATTGTTATAACATAGAGAACCTTTTACGAATAATACTAGATCTTGATTTTTAACCCGATATTCTTCGGTACCCCTATTACTAGACGAATATCAACGATTTAGATTATTTATAATTAGAAACGATCGCTTCAGTAGAAGGGGACCCTGTCCCGGCTACCGTGCGCATCCTTCGCGAAATACTACGTACTACGTACTACGTACGTAGTAGGTTAAAAGAAAACGATATAGTTATTTGCTTACTAATACAGGCTCTCGAGGATAGCTAGGCCCTCCACCACCGGAGAAATAAGTCGCCGTTTGAGGCACGTATGCAACCACCAACTTTAAACATTTATTCTCGATCATACTACCTCGAATACTTCGATATTTGCCACCCCAATGGAAGAAAATCGCGCAATCTCTTCGTATTCCAAAAGCGTTGATTACTGATCTTCTCTTGATCAGTATTCCCACCGGTTACCTTCCGAAAGCAAAGCAAAGCCATTTGGTGGGGCTTAGCCTGCGCCTCAATCGGCCGTCTGTTTTCTCCGGTGGAGAGGCCGAGGGAAAGCCAAGGGGCGGTCTTTGAACGAAAAGACGAGCTCTTCCAAAGGACGATTCAATCGATTCAATCGATTTCATTTCAGCTACGACTTCAATCATTAAAATTGTTATTTATCAAATACGATCTTGTCTCAGGTCTTGACGACGAATGGTCCATTGACAGTACCCAAAGTTAAGGACTATCTCTAAAAGAGAAGGTCCGAAGAGCGTCCACAGACCGTCATTGAAAAGTATCTTTAAGCAAGTAGTATTTGTTTAGTCTGTGCCGTAGAGTTGACAAGGGCTTTGCGAAGTACGGAGTAAGACATCCAGAGACCACCGGTCTGCGATTTATAGGGCTAAGCTGGGTCCGAGATTTAAATGGTAGTATGGGGTAGCTCTGCCCCAAGTTTAAGCTGTAAGCTTGTGCCGTAAGTGCCGGAGTACCTCTTCGAGCTGATCGCTCATACGGTCTACCTTAATATAACCTTATCGGGCTAATTTACGTATATGGACTTTGCTCGCGGGGTGTAGACCTGTTGTTGTAGACATAGCCGACGCCCCTCCATGGCCTCGGGAGATCAGGTTGCTTGTATGAGTACGCCAAGTTGTATCTCACAGAGGCCACTTGCTGAGAGGTCTGTTCTTAGTACCGTATCCCATGTTGTAAGTCATCTGATATATCAAGTCAGATTTGCCTTGAGCCAATTGTTCAAAGCGTTGCAATCTTTGTCCACGATTTGAAAAGATCGACGGATGAGGATAGCCGTTTGGCCGCACGAGTACGGGGATAGTACTTGTAAGTAGTATAATCTTTGGTATTCAGAGTTTTTCTGGAAAGGATATACTACAACTACGTACTACTACAGTAGTAGTACCTACTACGTACGTACAGTAGTACCACTCCCCCCGAATTGCTACAGCCTGAGCGTGCCTCAAAAGTTTAAATCTGCACTTTAACCCCCCTGATAACAATTACGCCTGTGACCTTGTACTATGTACTACTCTGTACGTGGTAAGTACCGGTACGTACTGTACAGCCTCCCCCTTTCGGCCCCCCTCCACGCGATTAGCCGATTAGCCGGCAAGCAGAACGTTCGTCCGGGGAAAAAAAGGTTAACATTATTCCAGAAGCCGCCTTATCAGTCGGTGCAATCTATTTACCTTCTCAATCTCATCTTTTTCAACCTCCATAGGGAATTCTGGACGGTGTGTTAGATTTGATTTAATTTGCCCATTCCATACAAGTGAGGTCGACAAAAGCTAAGACCAGTCTCTGGGCCCAGTCCAGACAAGACTCCTAGCTCGAATTGCTATCTTCTTGCCAAGCTTACGATAAACCCCCTTGCTGGAGTATAATAAATGTAATGGCTAGTAGTAGTATCGTAAGACTTACTACTAAGTTCTAGTCAAAGAACACCGTGCTGAACAGTGTCTTGGATTATGGTTGTACGGAGTATTATCGGTTGTCCCGAGACAGTTCTAATGTGTCTAAGAATCGCGTATTCTTAACCCCCCCCACCCGGATCTGAGGGTCGGACTCTGTTGATTGGTTCCGCATTACAGGTTTAGCTTTCAGACCTGGGGAGGGATGCAATTCTGTCCCTCATAGAGTTTGCTTGGGCTCAAGGCTGGCCAGCCGGTCATGGAAAACTCGGACAACTTAGTCGTCGAATGGTCTGTAGGTATATGTTGGCTAAATACTCCTCCGTGTCGCCTGCTCACCACAACTGCACGCGTCGCCAACTTCAATTCTCTTCGATCCGAATCTTCCTCTCCGCTCAACTCTTCCTCAGTATTTCTCCCAAACAACCATGAAGTTCTCACTCATTGCCGTCGTCGCAACGCTGGCTGCAGGGTAACCAAGCCCTATCCCGCCTCCTGAAGCCTAGCGGAAGATAGCTGACCAGCAACTTCACAGTGTCGCAGCTGACCTACACAGCAACTGCTTGTGCGCTAGTGCAGTAGTAGATGAATTCGTACGATGAGAATCTTCACCAACGCCTCCCCGCGCGTGCTAATGTTGCCCTTAGCTTGAGTACCACCGCGACGCCACTCAGAAGATGTGCGAGGCCTACAGAGCGGAAGGCGCCGCCGGTCTCCAGCGCCGAGCTAAAATCGGCCCCTTGGGCGGAGGACTCGATTTAGAGGTTGTACCACCCGCCAACCCCAGCCCCAACCCCGGAGATATCACGCCCTCTAAGACCGGCCTCTTGCCCGGAGAAATCGGCCCCGAGATAATCGGACCCGACGGCTCCAGTACCGGCCTCTTACCCAAAGGAATCATTCCCGAGGTTCAAGAACCCGACAGCTCTACGACCAGCCTCTCGCCCATACCTTCTACCACTAACGTCCCGAGAGCTCTCCAAACCAACAAGCCCGGAGCAGTCTGCCCTGATTGCACTGTATGTACAGACTCTCACCCACTTGCTTGCTAGCCCCTTGACACAAAAACTTCCATGCCATCCCCAAGCATCCAACCCGCTATTAGAGGATTCCCGGCTAACATCTGAAACAGTTCGTAAGTCTCGAGCCGCGAGCTCCTAGCTCTAATGAACAAGTGATTCCTGACATACCACCCAACAGATCGAAGCCGCTATCGCGTGCCGCTCCGAAGGGAAATATATGGGAGGGGATGAGGTATGTTATTGTTCCTCCCACCTCTTACCCACCTCTCTTCAAACTAATCCATTCACCCGGCAGGTCAACGCATTTTGCCTACGGTTCGGTGCTACTCACTCCAAGTGCGACTAGCTTTCAGGGGCTTTCCCATCCGTCTTTCTTCTGGATACAAGAAAAAGGATACTGGATCTGACGTTCGGCGTGTCGAGGTTCCCTCCGTCGTTGCAGGCTGTACATGGAAATCTTTCTTTCTCCGGGAGGTTGAAAACTTGGCTTACCCCACTCTCTTGTAATTTTGTATATACCTCTTCAATGAATGACGCCGCCATCCACTGTACCTTTTCGTCTCACATGCTGGGGATACTAGTCACGTATATATAGTACGCGGCGGAGGCAAGAATTCCGTTGATTCTACTCCGTGCCATCGTGTATATTCCTTCTCACACCTTCTTCCACTCTACATGCACAAAAGACCGTAGGAAAGTAAAAAGACGGGGAAAAATGTATTCGGCAAGTCCATCTAATCGTCAGTTACCTCAAATATACTCGAGAGAAATTGATCCGGCTTGTCCTGCAAGTGGGAGCCACCAAGGCGCGACAGTTCCTTTTGCCCATACAAACTCGGCAGAAAATCTCCCACTAATCATACCGTTATCATTTCTGCATTGAGAGATGGAGCGCATCGAGTTTACACATCCATCACTCATATGATTTTAATTATGTGCAGTTGTTCTATCATTATGCTGAAATAACGCAACAGAAATGGTACTCTTGCTGTCCTTTTCGTGTCCTTTTCGACGCTGTTGGTCCGTGCGCCGACTAAGCGAGACGGGTCAACAGCGCTTCCTCTCGAGCTCGGAAGCCGAGCACTAAAGCTCCTCCCGAACAGCTATCATAATCGACACAGAAGATGAAGCAGGAAGCGACGAGAAAGCAGCAGCTCGCAGTAGCGTTGCTACCGATCACGGCGCGAGGGACGTTATTACAGGCTACGAGAATTATTTGATCTTGGTATAGTTTACATGATGCGGCCGTATCAGAATTTGCCGTGTCAATACCAGACTAGGCGAGGAATAAGGAAACCGGACTCGTGCCCAAGCCTGTGAGAGGTATGCGTGTGTCACGACCAACCGCGACTTAATCATCGTTTCCTTGTTTGTCGGGGTAGGAAGGAAGGTTAGCTTTCGATCTACGTGCACGATTTTTCTTGATCGAGGTTGGGGTTGTCGGGATATTCGAAGCGGATAAGGAGGATTTACGTAGTGATTTGTTTGGGACAGTTCTCGGCTACTACTACTACGTATATTTTTACTACCTTTTTAATATATTAACTCGCGACAGATGAATGCCTCTTTATACTTTTGGTTCACGTTCGCGTACAGCAACGTTTCCTTTTGAGGAGTTAATCTATTTTGGGGGCCAGGGGAGGGTCCAATCCCTTAGATAGTACCTGCCTGGGTAACGATCAAAGAAAGGGTAAAATAAAGATCTCGCTTATCAAAAGTAAGCGCTAAACAGTGCTCTTTTCTGAGAGTCGAAAACTAAACTCTTGCAATGTAATATCGAGAGGTAGCAAGATAATAATTTACAGTTTTTTTTTTTTTTTTTTCTAAAACAAAACCCTGATCGCATAGAAACAGTCCATCATCCTGGCAGATAGATATAAATAGATTATCCTTCTCAGATAACCACAACCTCCACCTCCGTCACCCTCTCGTCCGGAATCGCGGCCCACAGAAAGCACCACCCAACGCGCCGGTACACCTTCCTTCTCGCCGCGTCGTCGACAACGACGAGCACCAGCCCAGCAGGGAACACCTGCGGCGAAGGCGCCTTCATGCCCACGCCCACGATCGGCATACACAGGAACTCGGTGCCGGCCTGAGGATTCATCGCCGACGAGTCAAAGATGACCTCGCCGTGGTCTTTCCGCACCTTGGAGGCGGGACCGCTCCAGCCGAGAGTGCGGCCCATCCCGCTGGCGCTCTTGATGCCGCTTAGCCGGTCGAAGTCGGGTTTCGGGTTGAAGAATTTGCGCAGTCCTTTTGGCTGGGGAGGGGGAGGGGGCGGTGCCGAGGCGGAGGAGGAGGAGGAGGAGGAGTCGACGGCGCTGAAGATCCTGCTGTCGGAACCGGGGTGTGGTGGGTATGTCTTGATCAGAAATGCGTATCCTTTGATGTGCAGCTCTGAGATGGAGATACTGCGCTGGTGGCGGGACGTCTTGAGAGGAGATGTCTTGGCCCAGTTCACGGCGGCGATGTTGACTACGTGCTGGGTGCGGTTGTACATGCTGACGATGGCGCCGGTGGTGGAAGCCCATGACCAGGAAGGGGCGATGGCGAGTGGCGCAGAGGCTTGCTCCCAGTGTCGGTACCAGGCTATGCCACCGAGAATGTCCGACTTCCAGACGCCGGCGTTGTCGACGTAGACATCATTGGTCGATGCGGCAAACTCGTTGGCGATACCTTGCACGGCGCTCAATCGATCGCGTGACTGAGTGAGGTTCCTGCGGGTAAATTCGTAGACGAGGTTGTGCCACGGTCTGGCCTCCACCTTTCGGCTCCTGGTATGCTTCCAAGCGAAGAACGGGATTGTGTCAGTGGTAATCTTGCCCGTTGGCTTGAAGTCGAACTCCTGGGCATCCGCACGCCAATCCCTGACGAGGTCGACGAATCGTGGTTTCGCTGGTTGCGGAGTAAACCTGTCTGCCCAGTTCGTCTCAACATTTTCCATGAATTCGGAGCTCGATCCCTCCGAGCACTGCCAGAACACGCCCTCTTCGGTGAAGAAGATTGTTCGCACGGCAAGAAGCCTCTCTTGCATGACCCAGCCTCGTGTGCTGAGCGTGGATAGCTCCACGCTGGTGTACCAGTGATCAATCTGAGGCGCCAGTTTAAAAAACCGACCTGCGTTTCCCTTGTCGGCACACTTGACCTGACAAGCAGGTAGCCGAGCTGCCTCGCGGCGTCCAAACAAGCCGACAGTGCAATCATCGCCCAGACAAGCAGCAATAGTACAGAGGGACCGCCTGTAAATCTGCCCCATGAAAGCAGATTCTCTGTCCCAGTCATCCCCATCCCCTTGAATCTATATTTTCTCAGCAAGACTCGAGGGGTTTTTGATAGCGTGCTTACAATGCAAAGAGCATCTACCCAGAGAAAGCGTATGCTCAACTCTCTGCAAACTTGAACTGCATCCCGAACAGTTTTCGGCAAGTCCTCGAGAGATATTCCACGCTGCCTCGCCTCGAGATTGTCCGGCGTCGTTGTAGCATTCAGTCCCGGGGGGCCCCAGCAGTAGCTGAGTGTTGCATAGTGATCAAGCCGGGTCCTTACCTTGGACATAAATCGATCCGAAAGGATCAAGCGAATCTCATTCCCGCCGTCACCAGCGGCCAAGTCGAGCAAGCGAGTAGGGCGAAATTGATCCTCCGCTTTCGCACAGTTAGGATGTTGCCCGAGACAGCTCTCCATCCAGCTTCTCACCCTATCGTTAAAATTTCCCGGGCGTAAAATCTCTCGCTGTCCGGTCTCGATACCTCGATCGTCAACAACGGGGTCATCGTACTTCAACGCATCTTCACCTTCCACTCTGATCTTGAAGCCGGCATACCGCTCGCGATGCTGAAAGATCTTGACACCCCAATTCACCAGAGCAGAAATGACCGCCTCACGCGAGAAGGAAGACGCGTTCGCGAATCGGTAGTGTCCATCTCGCTCCTTGATGTAGAGGAGCTCTCGGCGGATGAACTGGCACAGTGGACAAGCGACACAGTCCGATAGTTGCTGGTAGTTTGCATGCAGTATATACTCGTTTTCTAACTTTGGACCCTTTTCTGGCTTCTTGGGCCCCAGTATCCGACTCTTGAGCTGATAGCATGGCTTGCAAAGCTGGGAAGAGGAATCCTCGAGCATGTTAGTGGGGTGGGCCGGGGTCATGTTGTTTACTTTGGCCATGCCCTTTGTTCGCTTCCGCAGTAACCAGATTCCTGATCAGTATCGAAGAGCTTAGAGATGATCTTGACTCCCTACTGAATCTTGCAGATAGAGGATAGCAAGGTAGAGGACATCGTTAGTACGTAGCGAGGAAGGCTGTAACTTGTCGCTGACTCAGCGCGCGGGGTGGAATCTCATGCTGTGCTACATACCTCACAACCATCAAGATGCTTCCTACATACCCACGCATGAAGTGCTAGTCTATAATAGACTTGAATTCGTCGTTGGCAGCACAATGTCTGATTCTTGACTGTCATTCCCCGGCGGACATCCAATTCCTATAGACATCGCTATTGCCAATTACTTCGCTTCGCCTAGAAAGGGGGCATAAAGAAGCTGATCACCCACGGCGGTATATTATGAGCTCCCCGTCTCGGGAGATTTGGCCCCTTTAGTGATATCCTGCCCAGTCTTTAACGCTTGCCTTTTACCCCACCTAATTATCCGCGCGCGCAACATTCTGGAAATCAGACCATATTAAGCTCATCCTTGTGAACATATATATATTTTATTATGAATGTAACATTAAACTGACATATGTAGTATTCCTGCTGGCTTTGAACCAGTGCTGGGTTCTTCAAGACCCGTGCATTCATCCACCCCTCATTCCATTTTTGCCACCTCCTTTTTGCCTCGGGGTGAGGTCCTTTGATGATCGACTGCCACGAATGGCAAACTCAACTACGGACATCAAGCAGCCTCGTGGACTGCCTATCCTAAGCGAGAGCCAATCTCTGACTGAGGCGACGGTATCACTTCCGCTTCAAGGCCCATGCTGACATTGTCCTAGATAGAAAATAAAAAATAAAAAATAAAAAATATACACTATCTCACACATTAGGCTTTAGTTTTTCTCTACGTCTCGATCCCCGTTAAATCCAACGACTTTGGTCATGCTCGTTGCCAGGTATTTGCCGTCGTCTCCTTTCATAAGGGTCGTACTTGATTTGGGCTCGCTCATGCTGGCGGTAGAAGGGAAGCTCCCCGGGAGCTGTCGTGATTGCAAGAGAGGCCTCAGGGTTGGGAGCGAGGCGCATATAATCGAGACGGCAACTTCAATATTGGACCAGATGGAGCTTTCGACGTTGTCCCCTGATCGAGAGCGCGGGCCAGGTTAGCTCTGGGCGCATTTAGCAAAGGCGGCCGTACTTACAAGTCATGTCATTCGAGAGCGACGAGATGTACAGGCTGTGCAACCTTAATACGCTGACCACACAAACGCTTTTTCCAACAACACCATTAGCTTTTTTGAACTTTTGTCTTGTTTGTTGTTTAGGGGAGTGGCACTCACAGCCCGCCCAAGGCGAAGATGAGAATCAGGCCGAATTTCTGCTTTGGCGGCAGCTGCAGCGTCGAAAGGGCTGGCATGGGGAGGATGATGAGAACGATGTCGGTGAAGATGTTCATTGCTGAGTTGAAGAACCAGACAGCTTCTCTGTCGATGCAATAGCCAGCTATTGACTGGTCCCAGAACGACTCGATGGGTACGCATGCGAGGACTGACGAGGAGATCTGCTGGATGCCGTAGAAGGAGAGAAGCAGAAGGGTCCACAAGCAGGCGTACCGTGTGCGGCGGCTGAGGAAGACGCGCAGGTATTGGAGGACGATAGAGAGCTTTACGAAAATCAGGGCGACGCCATAAAATAAGATGGCGAACCAGAGATACTGAAGATTAGAAGTCAGTCGGTAAGTCAGTCAGTCAGTCACTCTTAGTCTTGAGTCTGTGATGCTTGAGAGGGAAGCGTCGGTGCTGACTGACCCGTAGAGATTGCTGAAAGTCGTCTTTGGAGACGTCCGAGAAGTGGTGGCCCAGCCCATACTTGACTTCTGCATGGTCATCAGCGTCAATCAATGAGCCCCGACTGTATCAGGCCATGCGAGAGAGGGCGGAGGAGACCTACGAATACAAGTTGTAATCGTACACGCAAAGTAGGCAAGCTAAAAACGAATGAGCATACGAAGGGGGGACAGAGTCTGTATTTGCCTACCAAAGAGATCGAGACGGCCAAATCCTCGAAGCCCGCATTTCTCAAATACCACAGTCTGGTGACGAGCCGGATCCCGCAGATCAGCGAAGTGAGGACAGCCAGTGACGCACACGTGACAATGACCACCGGCCCTCGCGAACGGACCTGGACGTCGACCTTTGAAGAAAAAACCATGATATCTGGCTACATGCAGATATCCTCAAGGTGTATGCGATGTCTGTATTAGTGTGTGTGTGTGTGTATGTGTGTGTATGTGTGTGTGTGTGTGTGTGTGTGTGTGTGTGTAGATGTACCGGTAATACCTCTGTCGGCAGGTCTGTCAGTATGTAAATGTATCTTCTCGCAGCGCCGCCGATAGCTCATGCCTCTGGCTCATACTTGCGAGTGAGAGATGGGTTTTTGAGCCGTTTCGCCGTCACAGCTCCGGGAAGGGCCAACGGCATTCGTTGAGGTTCGTCGAAAGACCCAAAACTGGAAAAGTAGAAACTGGAAACTGGAGACTGGAGACTGGAGACTGGAGACTGGAGACTGGAGACTGGAGACTGGAGAGCACGGATAGCTTGGCGAACCCAAAACATGGAGATGCGGGCGAGGAGGGTGAGGAGGGCGGACTGTGCGTGAAACGGTTCCCGTTTTGACGAACGGAAAGACGGCGAATAGTTCGTCATTAGAGTGTCAGCGTGTGAAGCTGTGGGTGTGGGTGTGTGAGAACGCTATCAGATGGGGTTTCGAAGAGAGCGCAAGCAAGCAGCATACCCTTTAAAGCTGGATAAAATCGGACGAACGAACGCACGACTTTCGGGCAATGCGCAGAAGCACAGTAAGCCAGAGAACCAACATTACTGTACTTGTACCGGTACAATCCACTGACTCATTCAATTTTGAAAGATGGTATACCGGTACGGTAACCTAGCAGATCGGCGACTGATGGCCCTTGTTTCAGCGGCCCATGACTTATAAGCTTTTGACTGTCCCGACGACCCTAGGCTACCGGTACCTATGTCGCTGTGCGCCTCGAATCAACTTCGACATTAGGCCCGCCGGAAATCGTCGTAGTCTCTTCCGCGTTTCCAACAGCTTCGGAGAAAGACGCAGCTGGTGTCAAAAGCGGAGCGGTCCGCTTGCGATTTGGACTCTCTGATTCATACTCGGAGATCGCAGCAAGCAACTCGTCGTCCCGAATTCCTTCCTCGGAGAACGACGGACTCGGGCTGGTTGGTGCCGTTGAAGTTTTGCCAGACGAAGAAGCAGCCTGTTGACGGTATGATTTTTGCAGTGGGATTCCAGATACTGCCTGCCCGTCTGCATTCGAAAGGGAATCGTCCGCCAGTTCGAATCGCGATCTCTTACTTGCTGCTCCTTGATCAGAAGAAGAACTTTCCGGGTACCGTTTCGATCCATTTTCCAAATTCGTTGAAGGGGATGTGCCGAAGTTGGGCTCCTCATCGGCGAAGCTGGAAGGCGGACACGCACTAATTGGGGCCTTGCTCGACGAGACATCCGTATAGAGCTCCTGGGCTTTGCTGGACGCACCATGAGACGCTTGAGCAGCGGAGCTACTGTAGATTGGACGCAATAACTCAGCAGGGTGCGTCACTGGCTTGTCCGCACCTGATGCTCGAGGAGGATCTCCTAAAAGCGCCATGACAGCACTCCGGGCCCGAACCAGGTAACGGATCTGATGTCTACAATCATCAAGAGTACTATGCTTCGACCCTTGAAATTTGACTTCATTGGGAAAATCCCTCCCAAGCATCTCGCCGTAGCACTTCACCAGCGTCCTGACACACATATCATTAAAATTATTCCACGGCTTTGCTATCTTACAAGCCTCGTAAGCCGAGCGAATCCACACATTGTCAGCCACTGCCCCATTTCCCCAGATCTTCGTATGGGAATTCCCGCGGCGACCGGGGGATATCCTCGCCGTAGTCGCCACACAACTTGCGATGAACTTGTTCAGTTGTTTCAGAGCGTCTGGCAGCGCAATCGTCGACTCTCGACTGGTTTCCAGAGTACCAGGAATATGTCGCTGGAGCCAAGTCATGGTGTCCTGGTCCTTGACCAGCTTGACTGCGAGACACGATGTGAGACTAACAGGCGTCTGGAATCGACCAAGCTCAACCCCTGTGTCGATGTCGAAATGGATAGCTCCTATCTCAATGATGCACGGGTTGAAGAGGAGGGAAGTGACCTCGAGGTCCAACATGATGTTGGTATGGAGATCTTTCGATTTCATTGTGACTGGGGATTCACACAATTGAGGCCAGGAGAGCTTCCGGCTGTGTAGCTTTTTTGATGAGGTTCCCAAATTTGGGGAAGACCATCAAGCAATGGGAAATGGGAAATGGGTAGGTAGTGGATTTGTGAGTACCTATCAGATGTCATGGAACCTGAAAATTCCAAGGGGAGTCGGGACACGTCGGAAGGTAGTTCTCGGTACTGGGCTCGCGCTAGCCGTCAGTGCACCATCGGCTCTGATACTGTACGTAGGGCGGCCAAAGCCGAAAAGTCAAATAATGAGTGAAAGTAAATCCAAACTGAATGAGTGATACCGTACCTATTCCACCACAAGCATAACAAGGGGTTGACTGAGGCCAAAGTACGTAGTGGTTGTCGAATGGTAGAAGGTCGAGAATACACGCCGGTTGGGTTTCGAGGCCTCCGAGGCAACATATCGCAGGTTTCGGAGTTGATCCTGCACGTGATGCGGCCGCTAGCTCGCTATTAGTCCCCGTGTCTCCTTCTCTGCTCCGTACGCACTCAACAACTTCTACGTATATTTCCTCTCATCGTCATCCTGGGTCTGACCCATAGCTTGGTGCTGTCCGTCTTATCAAGACCAAGTATTCTACGTTAACCATCCATGCATTATCAGCCGGCCTCCAGAGTATATTATCGACAGGAAACTTCCTCGTTCTATCCGCACGCTGGCGCAATTTTTTGACTGCAAGCGGCCATCACGTGATCAGCACCTCGCCGTCGAGCTCTTGAGGCCGGCGGTTTAGGTGAAATACAGAAACGCAACTGATCGTCAGATACCCATCTGCGTCTCTCCATACTTGCAGGCTGTCCGGAAGTGATTGTGGGATTTTTTCTTCTCATTTGCTTTAGTCTGTATTTTTTCCATTGTTCGCGTATTGCATCCACGGAAACGGGCTGAAAGAGAGAACGAGGACAATGCATTCGGCGAGTGCGAAAGCAGCCCTTTGGGCGGCCCAAAATAATGCTTTCAGCCATACTACTACAGCATTGTGTGTCTGAGATGGGTCTATTCCGTTTGCGATCTTGCTTCCGAGTCTTTCATCTTTCTTTTGTTTCCGCGTCTTTATCTCAGGGCCAAAGCCAGATCTTCTTCTCCCAGCACGATATTCTAAAATATTTCAACGCCCGCGGCTTCCAAGCCCCACAGTGCAACTCATAATGTCGTTCAGTGGAGATCCAGCATCCGAATATTTTCGTACAAATCCTCTCGTGGCTGTGTATCATGCCGAAACGAATTGGAATTCAGGGACAGCTGCGGTCGGAAGGTTCCTCGGCAAAGTAGTTCTGGGGCTGATATGGCTCATCATTCGCGCCATCATCATCTTCATCATATTTTTGTGGAATTCCGGCCTCAGCTGGATCGCCAGGATACCTCCAGTCGACGAGCTCGTGGAGATGGCATCCCAGTCCGAGGTATCCATGGTGGGTAGGGTCTTCATCGCCCTGGTGATGCTGGGCCTCGGATTATGGATCTACATATCACACAACAATGCCGCTTTTCGTCGCTCAATAATTTTGCGGACAGCATCAGTTCGACCGGTTGCGATTGACGGCGCCTTACCCGGTCGCACATCAATCGTCAAAACTTTTCTATCGTGGGTGGACACGCAACTCGACCGCGAGGCACGCTTCACGAATCGGTTCCTAGCTAGAGTGTTCAACAGAAGTAATTATCAGTACCTCTGGCCCCTGGCTCTCGGTTTTCTATCGCTTTTGTCTCAGTATATTGCTATGGGAGATCCTAGAAGGATTGTCTTGGAACCGAATTCATCAGAATGGGAGTCCGTTGCTTCCATGGTTCAACTCGCCGCTTACAATGCCGGCCACTGGTTGGCCGTCTTTGTCATTACGCCTCTTGTTGTACTCTACTACTCGTATGGCGGCAAGGCGATGTACACGGTCATTCTTACGGGTGTGATGATATACTTCACCAGAATCGCCATTGCAAGTCATAATATCGATCGCTCATCCGAGACTTGGAGGACTGCCTGGAAAGCTGCTCAAGCATCTCGGCCGGCCATAGATCCCAATTCTCGCTGGATCAGACAGGTTTGGGGCTTCATATTTGGGCTAATGCTTTTGATGGGCACGTTGAGCGAGATACTGCGCCACTTCCTCCGTTGGAAACGAAGCCCCTCTAACGCCAACCGCATCATGACCTCTAACGGGAGTCCTCGTCGTGTTATTACACCTGGACTTGAAAATGTAGTTTCACCAATTGTACCTGCGCCTGTCATTCCTCCAGCACAGCTTTATACACCTGCCGGCACATCAACTGCTCCACCTACGACTCCATTGACGCCTCTCCATCCAGCAACAACTCTCCATACACCTGGAATAATCGTCGCACCAGTCGTCACACCTGGAATTTCTCCTCCCTCTGAATCGCGGGATGAACATTTCTTCATGCCCCTCCTAGGCCTCGGACCGAAACTCGATGTGGTCGGCTACTTTTTCAGGGACTGGTTCTATTCCGTATCGGAATTTCTTCAGGGCATTCTCGTCGGAATTGTTTCAGTCTTCAATGCGAGGCAATACTTTGGAGGCTTGTTCATAGCGACGCTCTTTGTATGGAGAGAGCCCGCGCGTATATTCGCATGTTATGTGGGCTCGTTGATCCAATCTGGGTTACTCTGGACTAAAGAAGCGATCTACGAATTAACGAAGGAGTTTTTCCGGGGTTTGGAGGCGCGTCTATGGGATCCAGTAGTTGCTTTTACTGCTGGTTTTTTCATGTGGTTCACTAGGCTGTTGTTTGATTGGAATTTCGTACGCGACAGGAAATCTCTCATCGCACTTATTGTTGTTCTGGTCATGGCCATTGTCCGCCATATCAGGCTCAACAGGTCCAATACACCGTCGAAAGCCCCAGTGGTACCTACTTACGCGCCTACCGATGTCACCGTAATCATTCCTACAAGGGGAAAGCGAACCTTCGAGGATGCAGAGTTCATGAAGGGTCTCTCGAGCATTCTTGCCGAAGAGCCCGCAGAGGTTATCATTACCACCAATGGCAGCATGGATAATCACAGGTCGATGAATGCGATTTGCGGGCTCTTTGGTACGCACCGAGTCCGAGTAACGTCGGTGCACGAGGACAACCTCCGCCGTCAATTCCTCAAGGCGACGAACCAAACAACTACGAAAGTCATCTGTTACGCCCATACACGAGTCGGCTGGCCTCAAGGCTTCCTCAAGGATGCCCTCGTGCCCTTCGAAGACCAAACGGTCGGACTCGTTGGCATCCCTGCCTTCTGGACGCGCTCTCTCGTCCGCTCAAACCAACTCAACAGAGACGATCAAAACGGCGATATCGAATCTCCTCCCACAGACGACCGCGGCATCGTTGGCAGATTCCTCGACTACGTCGTCTCCGCTTCCCTATTCCACAACAATCGACAGAACGCCACCGACATCCCTTCTAGCAACAGTACAGTGTCCGGCCGCACAGCGCTCATCCGCACCGAAATCGTCCAGTCGCCCGCCTTCCGCTTCCAATTTATGCAAGAGACGTATAACGGCAAGCCGCCCCCGCCATCTAGCATCCGTGACGACGCCGCTCGCTTCATCTCGCGATTCGTTTCCAACGCCGGCTTCAAGACCACCTTCTGCGACGGCAAACCCGACAGCCCCTCCCGAGCCTTCATCGAAGTGCCCCGCCTCGAAAACCCCACTCTCTCCGCATACTGCAAAAAGCTCGTCGCCGAGTACCGCAGCTCCTACCGCCAAGAGCTGACCTCCGTCTTCTCCTACATCCCCGTCCTCGTCCGCGCGCTGCTCAACTGGTCTCTGCTCAACGAATTTTTGATTTGCCTGCTGGTCTGGAAGGCCTTCGAGCGCACAAGCATCCTCCGGGTCCTCCTTGTCGCGCTGTTCATCCGGAAGGTCCTCGCGATCGGGCACTCGGGTCACTACGACGCTTATTTGCGGATGCAGGGAGGTCTGGGCTCCATGATTGCCAGCGTCGTCTTTTCGCGCTTCTGCGGCCTCTTCAAGCTGTGGGCGTTCCTTACGCCGTGGGTGTACCGTGTTGAGAAGACGGAGGGCGATTTTTTTTCTCCGCCTGGTCTTGGTAGGCGGTTGGTTAGATAGAGATAGATGGGTTGTCATGTAGCTAGGTCGGATGGAGTGAAGACGGTTGTGGTTGGTGTTGGGGCATTTGGTGGAGTTGGCGTTATGTTTTTTTCTTCTCTATTTTTTTCTTCCTCTTTTGTCTCTCGTTGATTTTAGTTCTGGCAATTTTATTCGTCAAATACACGAAAACAAATTGCCCTTTTGTTTTCCAAGAATTGAAAGTAAATTTTGTGAGTGAAGTGTATACTCGAAACTCTTTTTTACAACTCGCTTATTTCATCTCATCCTTTGTTCAGCTCGCTTATAAGTTCTTGGGGCTAAAGGTAACTACTAACTTACTCTGCGAACTACTCTATGTACCAGAGGACCTTCATGATATTATTGATAATATTTAATAATATAAAAATTCCATCCCATGGTAACCATCTTCAAAATTGATACATCTTATCCTACTCCGCTTTGAACCAAGCCGTAATTACTCCGTACATCAAGTGATACCTGAGGCAGTCGCCATACATACATACCTTCCTTTTCCTATACACGATGCTTCCCCCGTATCGCCTTTCAAGTCCAAGTTCAAGTTTTCACCATGATCCGTATCATTTACGATCGTTCTTCAACGGCACTCTAGAAAAGAATGAGGATAATTCACCCATATACATACGTACGCTTGTCGTCTTTCGTCGCGTTGGTTGATGCTAGATACCAGCACTAGTGTAGGTAGTAGTATCCCAGCGCTCGCAGGCCAGGGAGAAACTGGTATGTAGACCCAGGAGTGATTTATGCAGGGCTAGTAATAGAAGAGGGGCCGCCGGGTCCGTTTTAGGTTACTCGGTCTGTATGGTACACTGACTAAGTAGGCACAGAAAGAGAGGGAAAAGAAAAAAAAAAAAGCCCGTTAAAACTCGCGGAGCAACGTTTTCAGACGACGGCATGCATATAGCCTTGCCTTGCCTAGCCTTGCCTAGCCCAGCCCACCTCGCAATCTACTTCAACCAGACCCAGATCCAATCAGCGAGCGTCCGGGCGTTCTCCAGCGTGAGGCCGCTCGCGGGGAACAGCAGCTTGCCCTTGCGCGTCTTCGCGCCCGAGGCCTGGATGGTATTCCGCAGATCGTTCGACCGCTCGGGACCCCAGTGGCGGAGGCGGGAGAGGCCGAGGCCGTGGCGGCGGACCTTGTAGCCGAGGATGAGGACGAGGAAGACGGGGATGCCGATGTAGGAGGCGACGAAGCGGCGCGTGTCGAACGGGTCCTCGAGGAAGGCGGCCACGCCGTTGAAGACGAGGAGGATGCTGCAGGCGACCATGCCGTAGGCGGCTTTGAGCCACTGCCCGTGGGACTTGTACGGGTAGCGGGCGTGGTCGCGGTCGTACATGGCGGCTTGGGCTTCGGAGGCGTTGCCGTAGAGTTTGACGTCTTCGAGTCTGTGGGTTGGAAGGGGCAGTTAGCATGGTGTTGTCTTATTGCTGTGAGAGCTGAGGGCAGAGGGCAGTGGACAACTTGCGTTTTAAAGAAGCTGAGGTACGTGGCGCAAATGGAAATGTAGACGATGAGACATGATACTGTGCAGTTTGATGCAAGCTCGCTCAGTCGCTGCGAGTCCCGTCAGCATCTCAGAATGTGGAGAACTAGCCCTTGTGTCCATCGACTCACCTCTCCTGGGCTTCCAGTACGTCCCATATATCCTATCAACATCATGGCCGCAGTTACCAAAACTGCTCGAGTGGGAACCCCAGATCGACAAGCCCGGAGTCTCCTAGAGATGAATTCCGGCCCCGTCTGATCCTGCAATGCCAACGTATGCAGAACCCTGGAAGCCACATACATCGAGTTTATGGCGCAGGTGAACGACGAGAACACAAAGACGGCATTGAAGAGGTGCGCAGCGGAGGGGATTCCGGCTTCGACGACGGCAATGATGAAAGGCGACTTGGCACCAACGGATTGTGCTTTCCCATTGATGAATGGGTGGTCGCTGGGGACGACGAAGGAGACCGTGAGCATGGCTAGAGAGTAGAGCGTGATGATTCGGAGGTTGATCTTCCGGGCTCCCATCTTCATGCTTTCGGCGTCGGCGAGGGATTTACTCTCAGCGGCGGTGGAGGCGATGATATCCATGCCGACGTAGGCAAAGATGGCGTGGACGATCGTTGTCCACATAGCTAGAAAGGTACCAATGGTGCCTTGGATCACGCGTTGGATGTTTCCGTCTTCGTCCTTGACCTGATAGACTGGGTTGAAGAACGAGTAGGGTCTGTCCCAATCTGTGGTGGGTAAGTTGAGCCAACCAGTAAGAGACTATAGGTATGGCTTACATCTTGATCCTATCACTTGGGAATAATATGCATCGGCGCGTGCTATTGCTACCGTCAGTGCAGAAGAAGATCGATTGCGCCCTTATACTCACGCCTCATGATACCCAGAACAAGCATCATCATGATCAGCATTACGATGAAGATGATCTTGAAGCATCCAAAGATGTATTCGAGCTCGCCAAAGACCTGCCAGTAGTTAGCAAGCAGATACGGCATACTAAATAGTCAAGTTGCCAGCATGCCTTGACTGGGAACATGTTGATGCATATCACAATAACGAGAAATAACGATATCCAGACTGCATTATCGACATTCTCTCCAGTGCTCCAGTGTAAGAATGTCTTGTGGTCATCGTATCGAAACCTGATCGTATTCGAAACGGCAACTAGTTCATCGGCAGCAAGAATAGTATATGCAAACCTGGCAAGTTAGTGGTTTGGCCTTGCGATGGGTGAGGAAACTGATACCAGTACATCCAACCAACTGCGAAGCCAACTCCGCGGTCAAGGAAGCGTCGAGGGAACTCCATGACTGGGGCATTGACAGGCATCAGAGCAGTCATTTCACACAATGATGATATCACCGACGATATCACAGTACCCATCAAGACGTAAGAAAGAACCGCGCCGCCTGGTCCAGCGACAGCTAGTGAAGTGCCGCATCCGAGAAAAAGGCCTTGTGTTGATAGTATCAGCATTTGGCGAGTCTGGAGTCCAATCCGCTTACCATTTCCAATAGTGCTGGATGTTTTCTGTTGTCAGTCGCAACCGGAAATTCTGGGAGCTGGGAGAACAGTACCCAGAAAATGCAATCATCTGCACAGAGCGCTGATCAGAAAAATGCATTACCCTCGAGGGTCGTCGGTCGGGCTTACATTGATGTGCCTCTCCCTCAATACTCTCCTGGATTTGATAAGCTTTCAGTGCAGTTGCCTACCTCAGTGCGACAACTCACCATACACTCTCCCCTCGTGGCTCGTTGCGTTCGTCGACATTTGTAGGCTCGTTTACGGAAGGGGGATATTCAATGTCAGGGGTAATTGGCGATCGAGTCGCCTCGCTGATCTCGTAGATTTGCGGCGACACAACTTCAGGCTTCTCATGGTCCATAGTTGATGTTGATGTTGATGTTGACATTGAGCTCATGGTAGCAGGCTGGAAGTGCTGGCAGGTAACCTACCTACTTCGCTTTGACCTGGGGGCTGAGCAGATTCGGTCAAGCGATGAGAAGATGTGCAGCCTGGGCTCTTATCTGGCTGGCACCAAATAAAAAACAACACAGCCTTGATGCGAGGGGATATTGGGAGAACGAACGAATGCCTGTACCCGCGTAACACAAAGGTTCCCCGCCGCGTAAGTCATCGAATCGACATCCCCCGTAAATAGTCACGTAACGCAAGAATAGCGGTCATGATCTCTGATCCAGAAACTGGCGTGGTACTGCCTTCAAACTCCTGTCGCAGATCTAGAGCACATCGGGGAATGGTTTCCAAGCAAAGTCAACAAGGATTCACAGCTGGATGAGAGAAGACCAAATAATGCAATAATGATCAGGGTCGTGATGAGATGAGAAGGCAGACACAACGTGGTGTATTGGCATGCGGAGGACATACTAGCTCCCGGCAACAGCAACACCTGAGTGGTACGATAGGGGAATTGGAACGCCACAGACAGGCACTGTTCCCAGGGTCTTCTGAGTCCTGGCGACTCACTGTCTGCCCGCAACCTTCTGAAAACCCGGGGCATATCCTCGGCATGCGAGTGCAGATAGACATCATGCAAGAGTCCCAAAAAAAATCAGCCCAGGGGGGCAATTGGACACACGAGGCTCATCTGTGGGCAAGAGAGCGAGCTTTCTTTTGCCCTGAATTCATGATTTCTCTCCCATCAATCGAGCACTAGGGCAAATCGAAGCTCGAGGCGAGGCGAGACGGGTTCAACATGTGTAACTCGGCGGCGTGTCTGTCCTGAGAAGCGTCAACGTAAACAGAGACTAGTCGGTGTCGGAGAGCCCTGACAGCTCTGTCCAGCCATCCGTCCCCAACGCATAGCACCCTGGTCCCCATTGTTGGCCCAGCCTAGACTCTCTTGTGCAACTCACTATCCTCTTGCCGGTCAAGCTGTACCTGCCAGCCGCTGGCCACTGAAACGGCCCTGGTGTCGTCGCGACCAGATACCGTACCTCGCACCCACCCTCGATATCCCAACTCCCACTTCCAATCCGAGTGCGAATCCCACTCCCACTCCCGCTTCTTCAAGCCCCAGGCGCATCTCCTAACCTCGCTGCCTCGAGCACCCCAAAGCTTATGAGTGATAATCTTAAACCCACCGTGAACTCCAAACAGGGCGCGACACTCATCGCGCGTCCTATGCGGCAGAGCAATCCCAATCCATACCGGGTCGCAGGCTGCGATGGCCGGACCAGCCTCCTCCTCCATGTTCACACGCCTCACGAGCGCGTATAGGCTGTTGACGCTTCGAAGCGACATTGACAACATCATCCTGGAATTATTGGGCCAGTTCTCGCTGGAGAGGATATACTGTGACGGCGACAAGGACACGTATCAGCACCTGGTCATCACGCTGTTGGCGCAACTGAACGTCATATTCCATGTCCAGAGACTGTCGCTGCCGTCGGAGCTCCAGCAGGTCGGCTGGTATTTGGGCTTTCTGGCAAGCTGGGAGGTGACGCTTCGCGCCATGGAGTTTGTGCTGAATGTAAGTCAAGTCACCCGTGACAAGACACTAGAGTAAGAGTAGCGGCTTGCCAGAGACCGCATCTCTCCTCGGGAGAAGGCCTCGACTTCGTGCACACACCAAACTGAAACCACAAGAGAGAGAGAGAGAGAGAGAGAGATTTGTATACAAATAAATACTTACGACCAAATCTTGACGCATAGGTGATCGATGAAGGGAGAGAAAGCCTCTGGGAGGCCCAGGCGCTGAGAGATCAACACCTCCCCGAGTTGCTGCTGAACGCCCTCAGATTTGCTACGCTTCATCCCAAGACATCAAATCAACGCGCCAAAGACCGCCGCGATCGATTTGCGCGCATCCACAGATCTTTGGAGCGAGTTGTGGACAGTTATCCAGGCCCTGGATCCTTCCTCTTGTCGATATGTAAGGAGGTGACGGATTCGCTTCGCACAGATCCGGATGGTCTTGGTCTCCCCCCACGGATGAGATCCGAATTGCCAAATTTGGCCACAGAATTAGTAGGAAAAATGCCAGTGATTTGTGTTGGAGGGCATCTGGATGTTTACTACAATAGCTGACAGGTGCTGGCTGATCTAGTACCCGCTACCTGAGTGTCTTACATCTCAGCACGTAGCCAATCTCGTTTCCCAAGGTGGCTTGCCCGGCGACTGGCTTGCTCAGTTCATGGCGCTTCGAGATGTTTCCCAGTTCGTGGTTGGAGCCTCGGTTCAGTATACCGTCAAGAGAGAGACGCGAGATATGAGGCTCCAGACTACCTCCGCCAGGACACGGAATGCGGTATTGCACGTTCTCGAAATCATCCGGACGCCCGCACATATCTCCAAAGTGGACCTGGTCTCGTACTTCAGCGACACATTTCGAATCATCCTTCCGGATACACTTTTGTTAACGAGGAGAGGCTCCTCAGATGCCCTAGCTGATGAGACCGATATTGACGCCATAGACGCTCTTTGCACGAGGCTATGCGATCGGCAGGTTCTGAATCGAGTGAGCGATAGGGAAATGATGCATAGCATCTCACAGGTATGTAAGAAAGTAGAAGTTCTACACGATCCAAGTGGCCAATTGAGGACGAATCGGCCGAAGGTATTTGTGGTGAATTGTGAAGGATGTCATGTACTGGGAGATGGTCAGCTCAAGGCGTCGGGCAAGCTGAATCTAGCTGTAAGTGTTGCATGCCCGGGGTTCCTACCTGGAGCGAAAAATCATTTCTGGGAAACGAATTACTGAAATGACTAGCTGGATACAAGAGATGCATCAGAAGTCTACCTCCCACTGAACTCCAAATGTCTTGTCTGCGGAGAAGTGATCAGCATGATGCGCGAAATACCACTGGCGAGACAGACGTGGGAGCTTTTGAAGCCTCTGGAGTCGAATGCCGACACTATAAACGTGGAACGGCACTTGCCCACCCAGTTTCAAATGGCCCCAAAATTTGATGCTAATATCCCTTACAATCACGGATGTGGGAACATGTTCCGAGAAGGCAGGCATCGATCATTCGAGCCTGGTGCATCCAGCCCTCCACCAGGTCATATCCAGATTCCACCAAGCTCCCCCGATAGGACCAGATCTATGCCTGCTACATTTCTTGTATCTCCTAGCTCACCGGGGCTGGGTAGGAGACTGGATACGCCGCGAACAGACTTTGCCCCATCCGAAGAATTAACTTCTAGCGACGGCGCAACATACTTTGATACGCCCGGCATCTCACCAGATCCTTCCCAAAAGCCGACCGCGGCCCCTATGGATACAATCTCGCCACTTTCGCCAACTTTCACAGTTCCTGGAGGTAGCCAACCTCGATTACACTCTAACTCGACAATATCGTTTGAGCCAGAAGCACTGCCGAGAAGTCGGACGGCTTCCTCGCCCGCGCTAGCAGAGAAAAGCAAGTCAAGATCCTGGCGATCGAAACTTACATCTTCGAAGAAAGAATGTTCAAAGGCGACTCCGGGAGACGTTAGTTCTATATCATCGACAACCCTGGAGTCGCAGAAACTCGACGAGATATGCTTGAAAAATCTGACCAGCTCGTCCAAGATCTCGAGGGGTAAGAGCGGAAAGAACATCAATGTTGCAATATCACAGAACTCGTGTTACGTGCTTTTCTGGACACAGGCGTCCATCAACATATGGGATGTCAGCTCTTCCTCGCCTATCCTCGGGCGAGCGGTCTTGACGGAAAGCAATTGCGTTTTAGCAGCAGTTACGAAAGTCTACCTGGCATATATTATTGGCACCAGGGACCAGAAACTCACAGTAGGTCCCAAGAATGACTCGCAGTGAATTTTGCTCAGCTGACATGTCACATCAAGCTTCGAATCGTGAATCTAATACAGCCCTCGGTCCCAATGATAGAATACCGAATGCCCTCTTCGCCTTGGTGTCACAGCATTTGTATCGACCCCAAGGAAAACCACGTCGTAGTCGGGTTTGACAATTCCACCGTCCGCTTTTTCAGCACCGCCAGATCCGAAGAACCCCGTGAAGAGCGTCTTCACATCCGCAACCATAGGGACTGCAGGCAATGCCCTCCAATCGATACATTATCCTTCTCTAACGACGGACTGGTTCTCCTCGCCAGTACACGCGGCCCTAAGAACGGGATCATACAGATATACTCTTGGCGCTTCCCCTTCGAAGAGAGTCAGGAGCTCACCACATGCCGCTACCACGTGCCGCTGCACGAATCCGAGGATAACGGCGTGTCATCGGCCATCTTCCGCTCTGGGGTGGGTGGCGAGGAGAACCTAGTCTGCATCTCAACATGGACGCAATCCGGCGTCCCAGTCCTCGTCCAACCGCAAGGTGGTCATCGCAGCGAGATCAGAACCGACTCCTCCGCTCACCAAGGTAAGCTCGGTAGCAGGATCCAATGTGCGGCATTCTCCCCCACCGGTAGCGAGCTGGCCATGGTGAACGACAAAGGCCATCTGTATCACATCTCCCACCTGAACGCGAATCCGATGGAAGTCAAGCGGATCGCGACGTCGAAGGAGTTGACGACGAAATCGAGTTTCTTCGCCATGACCTTCATGCGGCTGCTGGATGAGGATGCGGTAGTGATGGCGTGGGCGGACTCGGGGAAGAGCATGGGGTACGTCAAGAAAGTACCGGTGGGGTATAGCGTAAGTGCAGGCAGAGCAGACCGGACATATGATCTGATACTGCGAACAGGATACAGCGACCCCGCGCACGACTCTGACACCCGGCTTCTTCCATTCTCCTCGCTATGAACTCCCCAGCGAAGGCAGAGAGATTCCCAAGCCGCCGGTGGAGCTGAGCGTCACTGAGATCCCGGCCCCGCTCCACATTGTGAAGGGATATCCGAAAGAGAAGCCCTGAACAGCAGGACGACACTTGGTCGGAATTCAGCCGCCGCATAGGTAGAGCCGTGAGAGTCTAGACTTGCAGCTCGAACCGGAATGGAGGAGTTGATTTCTACTAATGAGCAACGGGCGCTCAAATGCATGGCCACGACTTTATAATAATGATGATGAAATAGGAATACCCACCCACTACGGTTTAGATCTCCAATGTTATTCTTTACCAATGTACAGTCACTTCTATGCATGGTCGACGGTGTTCGTCGTCCTCGATCTCTCTCTCTCTCTCTCATGATACACTGTGCAACCCTCCAACAGTAGACCTCAACGAGGCCAGGTAAGGCCCCAAATCGTAGTCGCACAACAACAAATTGCACACACGACCACCCGAATTTTCCCACCATCCCCACAGCCATCATCCCAGAAGCATCGCAAGCTTCTTCATAAACACAATGAGGATCAGACCAGTAAAGAGGCTTATCAAGATCAAGTCGCCATACAGAAACACGATAGAAAACAGAGAAATACCACTCTCCCTCGCTCCTCTGGATCGCTGACGAACAGCAGGAGACGCATCCACCTAGAGCGAGAGAACTGGCACATGATAAGACGCTCAAAGAAACAACAACCCCATAGCTAACAGCAACTTGTGCCGCCGACGCGAGAGACAGGAAGTCAAGAGCCGCTCGCCGTGCGCGGTGCCCGTACAGGCAGGGAGTGGAATGCTAGGAGGCTTGCAAAGTCGAAGCAATCCCTAAACCCTGTCAAACCCAGCCTAGCCTAGCCCAGCCCAGCCTAATCCCCCATCCGCGAAATCCCCATCCGTGAAATCCCCATCCTATGTTCAAAGACCCCCACAGCGAAGCCACAACACCATCCCGATTTTCGATTCCCTGTCAGCTCTTGAAAGACGCTGGCTGATAGCGCTCGCTGCAGTCATCAGAGTGGAGCAAAGGGAAACAAGAAAGGCTCCTTGGTGTCGCGGGGAGCATACCTCCCTTTTCCCTCTCTCTGACCTGGGGTTGGCCCTGGGAAGGGGGCACGAGAATGTGAGAGGGAGGAGACGTGGGTCCGAATCCTCCAGGGGCCAAATTCAATTCATTTTATTCTCATCCCTTTTGGAGGTTTCGATATAAGATTTTAATTGATTTTTGATTTTAGAACGATAGGGGAGAGAGTGGAGGGGGTGGTTCTGTCGTAGGCTCGCTCGTTTGCTCGCTTGATTGTTTTGGGTTGGGTTTCCTTCTCCATTCCCCCCCCTCCCCCTTCCTTTAATCCACATCAAATCACATGCAGAAAGAGGGAAAGAAAGATTTGATTAGGATTACCTTTTTGGATATATTGAATTTCGGCGGCTACATCTAATAGTGGGACTTGACGTCGAACTTTTGGGGCCCTTTCCCCTATTACAGCCAGCTAGCCAGCCCAGGCCAGCCAATCGTCCCTAAAGATGGGCATATATATCGCTAATACACACACAAACGCACACGTACAAGCAAAGCCACACTGCACTAGATGATGCCTTCATAGCACCACCCGTTACCCACACAAAAAGGCAACTGGGACGGGTACGTGAGCGTAAACACTACCCGGCTCCTGGGCCTCAGATCCATCCAGCAGCGGCGCTGGATACCAGCACGACTTTTCAGACCGCCCAAATGACGAGCTCGGCGACCTGCGCGCCCTGGAGTATTTCCGATCAGGACAGCGGCCCTGATGCTCCCGCAGATGGCGTCCTCGAACCCCGCGCTCAGACACTTCGTCATAGCCATAACTGCCATGAACGAGAGCCTCGAGCTGTTGCGCGGGCCAGCCATAGCCGCGGAGTTAAATGCCTGGATGGGCAGCAGTGGGGAGAGGAGTAGTATGGAAGAGAATGCTCAATTTGCATAGCGGCATTACAACGCGGCCGTGTCGGAGCTGTCGGGGAGTTTTGCCCCGGGGAGTCAGGCTGGGAGTGAGCAGGTGACACTGACGAGCTGCGCTATGTTTGTTGTATGTAAATTCCTGACCGGGATGACATTCTCGTGAACCAATTTCCATACGCAGCACGGCGTCGAGATTCTAAGTCGAGTCATTGCCGACGAAGGATGAATTCCCAAGTTGACGTGCATATTGCCAGTGTCGCCGTGGTCCAAGCGAGATTTAACGTCCTCACATCAGGGCCCCTCTTCCTCTTGTACCAAGGAGAAAGGGGGTGTAAGTCGCGAACCTCACACTTGGCATCTCTCTGCTCGGATATGGATACATGCAGGGGTCCAGCGTTCGGAGCCCGAACCAACGCACCTCTTTAATAAATCCATGGCCTGATTGACGAGCTCAACTTGATATGGCTGACTCGGGATATGGATCAGGATTCTCAGGACTTCCTGTTCGACAAGCTTCTTTTGCCAACGGTCAATTCCGTCGCAACGACATCGGGGAATTGAAAGCTGAGAACAAAAGCAATAGACGTGTGGGTAGGAGCAGCGCCGGCCAGTATCGGGGTGTTCCTCGGCTCAGGAGACTGATAGGTGGGACCAGTACCCAAGAAAATAATATAATATCAGGGGAAAGTCGTGTGGTGGAATCGAAACCGAATTGCGGGTTGGAACAGCTCGACTGGCAGCCAGAACAGTCTTGGGAAATAATGTGAGTGGGATCAAAGAGGAATGTAATAGACACCTCCCCAGCCCGATACCTAGACTATGGCTTCGTGAGCTGCTCATTGCTGCCTCGCTTCTCGCCTTCGTCCTCCTCAGGAGAAGTGCTGGGGGCACTACTAGAACCCCTCTTCATCTCATAAGACACGCGATTCTCGGTCGTGACTTGGATCGATTGGCTCATGGTACTTTGAGGCTGGACAATTGCAGGTTCGACAACAGGAAGTATCGGTTCGACGCCAGGAAGGGAAGTGTTCAACTTGGCTCCCCAGCTTCGAATCATGGATCTGCGAGAGTCGCTGAAGGAGGTAGGTAGATTGGCAGTAGGCATCCACTTCATCAGCAATGGTCGGATGCACATCAGACAGGCGCAAATGATTGCAGTGAAGGTCTCGATTTGCGACCAGTTGACGACATCGATGTAGACCCCTATTTTATTTTACGGTCACTCGGATGAGATGGGAGACAGAAGGACTGGAGTACTTACACGTCAGGTCTATGGTCTCACCGTACGAGGTAACGTAATTTAGTCTGATTATACTCGTAATGCATGCGCTGGCAATATGTTAGTCCTCATAAATTTCGGATAATGCTTTTTGAAGGGGGGTGGAGCGCGTACAATGAGCCCAGAGCAAACATAAAGCCAAGCGCGACTCGTTTCCCGCGGCCGAGGTTCAGGGCTTTCAATTCAGTGATTGGGAGGAGCATAATCGCACAGTCCTCGAAGATGCTTATTCCAGCGCCAGCGTAAATCATAGCATTGCGGTTTACGCAGTGCTTGGAGACTCCCAGATCCCAGTTGGAGCTAACAGGCGTGCATTGAAAAGCCACGGTGAAGGAGAATGCGGTAAGGTGGAGTCCCAAAAGGAGCAACCCGATCTTCACTACGGTGCGGAACCGTGGGCCAGGGAAAATGCGTAGGTAAAGCAGCAATATGGACGCTTTCGCAAATGTCTGGATGACTACGTAAATCATGGAAACAGCGTAGAAGATCTTAGAGCTCGGTTAAAACAGTAGGTTTTGGTTCGAGGTTAAGATCGATCTTACCTTCATAATCTTAACCAAATTTTCTGGTGAGACGTTGTAAAAGTGTTTCCCCATCCCTAATTGAGGCGAGGCTGGAAATGATGATCAATATTATCCATGATTCGGGAAGTTGCGGGGCACTTACGATAGAATGAAAGTACGGTCAGAGGAATCATGAACACGAGAGACACGAGGATCGCGTAGTCATCCCACCAGAACCTATGTGCGATCACTGCTCTCGAGATGAAGCGGAGGATGATAATCGGATAGGTGATTACAGCTAAGATGCTTGCTGCTCGTATCATTGCGCTAGCTCGTGAGGGTTGCGGAACTCCATCACAGACTTTAGTCTGAATGACAGTCAAAGAAGCTGGCGAAATTAGCTACGGTCTCATTTGAATATTCGGTTTCGAAGCCTTTACTCACTGTATTGATCCGTAGTATTACATGACCCCAGCACACAGGTAGATATCTCCAACAATAGATCGTGGCTCGAGCACAGGCAGTTTCGAATATCGGTTAATTCACATTTTGCAGGAGGGAGTATCGCGAGCGCACATTGTGTCTACCAGTCTGTCAGTAGTGGCAAGCATCCAGATCTGGAAGACTTACCGTGCAAGCTGGAAATTCCGTTAACAGTTGTGAAGTATTCCCCTGGGCCAAAGCAGATCCCATAAGGACTGCAGAACAGATTAAACTCGACAAAAGCATTGCGGGATGAGGATGAAAGTTTCGGTGGTCATCAAGGCTGTGAACTTGAGCTTATAACATCACGGCCTCAGGAATGGGCAGGGAACCTGTGAAGCGCCGCTGGGTATTTCAGCAATATAAGGTATTGAAATCGACGATCAGACTATCAAGTGAGGGGCCCGAGGTGCCTTTTTGCGGGTCAATAGTCTGTGAATTTGAGTTAAAGCCAATCAGAAGGGAAGCTCTCCCCGAGCAATCATATTCCATCCCAACGGGTCGGAGTGCCTGACGCGTGTCCGAGGGCCAATACGACCCGGAACGCACAGGCGGATTACCATCATCTATGGCAAGTGGCGAGCAAAAATAACGGCTGGCAGTATGTCGAGTATTGTGATGGCTCGTGAGAAGAGGCCAAAGCGTATATGTGAGTGATATCAACGCCCCGGCGCTAGAAGAAAACAAAATATCCTTGAAGATCCGCACAAGTCGTGCTTGAAGATGACATGACCAGCCCTGGCCAAGCTTTTGGCCTGTTGTTATACCTAGTCTCCCTGAGCTTGATTTAAGGGACGGGCTTTTTGCTGATGCACGGCCCTCGCCACCAGATTACTTGTTGACCAAAGAATTTGTTGACGGAGAAACCTCCGAGTACAAGTTATCAACCCCAAGTGTCAACTCGAAGCTGGGACAACGACAAGTGTGATTTTCAGATAAGCGTGCAACATAAGACTGCAAACAGATGATGTGATCGAAGAGCCGGTATGATAAGGATAGATATGCAGACACGACTCGATACAGGATACACCCGCATGTGAATAGGTTGATTGTGCATTTGAAGTTGTTGAGTATTGCTTCTGCATCTCACCGACTTCACCGGCATCAAACCTGAGCGGCCAAGGCGGTTGAGCCACCGGCATTCCGCGCGGAGCTGTCTTCGGAAGTCAATTTTCCGCAGGGCTGGAGGATAGGATGCAAGGCAAGTTCAGAATTTTCAATAAAAGAAATATGACTTGCTGCTGATATTCGTGTGGCTGGCCGGCATATCTGTTCCCATGTCGAACATCAACCCGAATATAAAGTCAGATTTGGGACTAGGAATCGATATCCCCGGCTCCGTCAAAAGATCGACGCACAGGGACAGGTATGCCGGCAGCACGACTCACGAGTACTGTGTCTCCGGAGACAGGAGTCCGGCAAACCGGAAACCGGAAACCGGCCTGCAATCAAGCCTTGACGAACAATATGAAATAAGCAATTCATTCAACGCTGCTGCAATGCCATGCTCCCGTATGCCTTACGTGCATGCCGAGGGCCAGACACGTATTTCTGGTGGGCCTGTGTCGGCGCTTTGGCAAACAAAAGAAATATAAGAGGCGGAAAAACCGCTGCAAACCGGCCGTTGAGGCGATGCTTGTGGAATTATTGGGTCTTGGCAGGTTCTGCCACTGAAATTCTCAGATTCCGAAAACAAATGTGCAAAAGTAACTAAAACATACGGAACGAGAAAATACGCAGGATCTATTACGTACCTGCCTGCCGCTTTTTCGCTATCTTTTCGGTATCTCCTAGAGCAGCTATTGCCCAGCGAAATCTCGAATCGCTCAATCAGGCGTGGTTACTCATGGAAAAAGATTCCGATCTATCCAAGATGTGTTAAAGAGATCCCCCGGATCTTTGACGAAACACCAGGGGCAATGCCACAGCTTAGACTGCAGTCCGGTGACTGACCCGGCAGCCTGAGACTTTTGTGTTCCATCCGGTGTCGATTCTGTGTTCGTGTCTTATTTGCTCTGACCCTCGGGTTCATCAACTTCGGAGGTGCTCAGCTCAAGCTCAATCACGCTCAAGCATCGCCAGCTGGAGCAAAGGCAGCTTGAAGGAATCGCACTGTGGCAGAGCATTCGCGTCCCGACTCTCTGAGACGCCATCTGCCCATGTCTCGCAGTCTAGCCGATGTGATACCATGATATCGCGGGTATTGATTTCAATATGTTCGAGCCATGCCTAGGATATCAAATCGGCATGGAGCCGGGACCAGGTTTGTATTCTCGCTGAAAGGGCTTTGCAGATGCAGAGAAGGCAACAGCCAGCGATTCAACCAGCCCGCAGCTTCATGGCATGCATCCTTACTCGAGACGGTATTGCCTCATCCTTATCATCCGAGCACAAAATGTCCTACTCGAAAGACCGGGAATGTGGACAGTGTATCGGAGATGTCGAATCCGCGAGGAGGGTAGCAGAGGAACAGAGCTGCACAGTGGCATGTTTTCGAACGCATTATTGATTTCTGGCGTTCTTCCTATTATCTGCATTCGCTTGGACTGCAGAAAGTTGACAATGCGGGATTGCCGTAGATAGGGGTTGATGTGAGGACTCACTCAGGAGTAACGCGAGGGTCGGCTGAGCTCACACCTCGAAGCGGCGGATAACAAGCCATCACGTGAGCACGCGAACGATTTGACTTCGTATTTGCGCCTCTCTTGCGCTCAGCAACAATCTACCAAGATCTAGAATCGCCATCATGTATTTCGTGCCCGTACACCACCAGTCCTCTTGGGCACCAACCCTATGGCGGCGGTCTCTGCAGGTCACCCGGAACCACAGACCTTGGAATGGCCAGAGTGGGAGTGACCATGTCCGAACACTAAACCTCGGCCAACAAGCTCGATTGGAAGCAAACCATCGTCAGCGATTGCAATCCCGGAACAAGACTTACAATTTCTCTCTCACTTTCAGAATGAGATCGATGTCATCTACCTCGACTTGAAGCGAGACCAGGGACCGGGTATCCCGTCTGGTACAGGAGAAGAATCAGTTCACGAATTCAGCCGGCATTGTAGTCCAGCGTTCACGCTCAAAGTATGATAGATTAGTCTCATCAGGAAAAATACACACTAACATCTTATTAAATGATCTTGCAGCTTCGTACTTGCCGAATGTCTGTCTATGAATGTTTTCTTCAAAGTCTCGACGAGAATATACCCGGCTCGACAGATTCCTTGAAATCAACTTGGTTCACTATCGAGAGCGGTATCCTTTCTCCCGAATGTAACACGAGCCGAGACGTCTCTATAGGCTCACCAGACCATTCTTTCTCTTGGCCAATTCAACCAGAGCTAGACCGAAGCTTTGAAATTTTCGATCATCAGTCTTCTTCTTCCTGGTCGAAGCAACAGTGTTGTTTCCAAGGTTCAAGTTGGCTGGCCTATTTTTCCGGTTCCAACGGCAATCTTCTTGGAAGAGGGAGGAAAACTGTAGTGACATGGGATCACAGCGACCGAATGTGCGCTTCGGAAACTCGGATGACTAGAGAGGTCTTTCCAGATATCGATATAATATAATACACCTTACCTTTGGGTGTGGCATTGAGCGCGAGAGCACGACAGGTGCGGGTTGTTAGACACCAACAAATTTTTTTACGTATGTATCGCTGTCGTCTGTTGATACCTTGCTCGAAATCTGTCAAAGGATAGCACTGCAGAGTCACGCACGACTGATATTGCGTGCTTCTACCGAGTAAGCACATTTTCCCGAGGCCATCTCGAATTTCCTCCCATATACTTTTCTATCATCTTCAAGTCCCACATACACTCTTAGATCCTGGACACCTCGCGTAAATCCATGTCCGATTTTTTGACCCGTGACTCAACAGAGTGACAAGGCGAAGCAAGCTCTTACCCTCTTCCACCTTGTCAAGTTCAACACGGCGAGATAACTAATGAAGCATATCCTCTTCAACCAAAGTCACGAGTGAGATACGATGCGGATGAGCGTATGAGCCAGAGGAAGAGCAGCAATTCCAAACCCGCACGGCCTGGAGATCCAATTCTCTCGGCCCCGGCTTCTTCTAGATTCAAGTCGCCCTCCTCCACTCAGCCTCGACAGCAGGCATGCGTCTCATTATCCCCCCCCCCCCCCCCCCCCCCCCTTCGCAACCTATATCGGTGGCCTTCTGGCTGGTTTTACCATGTCCCGCTGGGGAACTGCTCTCTCACCTCGTTCGTCTGGGGTGCTTCTCCATGGTGCTCGGAAACGGACTCGTCATCCCTCCGTTTCCAGGACGAGAGATGGATAGTATCTTGTGTATCTGTTTCCGGCAGAGGATTATGTATCCGAGTATCCTGTTCACAAAAATTGCAGCGTTTTTTTTTTTCTTTGGCGCAGTCCGGTACGCATGACCTTGGCAATAAACCTTGGAACCTGGACTGAAATCGAAACTGAGCCACGAGATAGAACGAGCCGTTTCAACCTCCTTGGTGTACCTGTTGGGGGTTATCGGCGCAGTCTAGAGCGTCGTATGCACCTCAACTATTATTCAGAATCATCTCACCTTGCGCCTACCAATTGCATTGTCCGGAATACGCGAGAGAGAGAGAGAGGAAACCTCCTCTTACATTCCTCCCCCCCTCTAGTTCTCAAGCAACAGAATACCGCTGAAACAAGAAGAAAAGCAACGAAATTCGCCATTCTGTGAGCGTTTTGTGCGATTTAGCGAGACGGGTGTACCTCGAGACACTACGATGTACGCTCTGGCGAGTACCCTGTAGGCTCCTGTTGCACTACTCGCGGTATTTTCTGCGAGGGGGCAGAAGCTGGATCGCGGCTAGGCCGGCTAGATTATATAGGCAGATGCGGTCATATACGACTCCTTCCTCGCTGGTGCAATGGCCCATCGGGGTTCTCGAAACTACCCCCTACCGACCCTACCTACAGCACTAGGCAACTGCTGTTAGCCACTTAAGCGAGAACATCAAAATCAACATTAGACATTCAGCCATCACTTCTCAATTACGCAGTATTTACAAATCCTTATGAAATAAAAAAAAATCACCATTCGATTCTCTAGACTCCTTTTATTCTTCTCGGTTTCTAAGCTTAGTATTCGAATACGCGCACACCTTAATACTTAGTACGCCAGTTTTCGGCCGCGATACATACAAAGCTTCGATTCTATCCGGCATACCTACTCTACTACAAATTATCAAACAGCGACTGATCCAACGCATCCCACGCAGCTTGCACACAAGTCTCCATGCCCTGCCTTGCGTATTCTGCATTCGATGTGTCGATCACAACGTCAAGAAACATTTAGTACGGCTTCTTCTTTTTTCAAAGATGCCACCAAACGTGCTCGACCGATCGGATTGCGGCCGAAAAAAACAAAATAGCTCATCAATTAATGAACAAAGTTATCTTATCTTATCTTATCCTTGCCGATCCAAAGGTCGACCTTTTTCGTCGCAGCATGAATCGTACGCTCTTCGGCTGAGGGCTCTCGGGATTTCCCGATCCGAAGATGCAAAAGCCCACACTCACAATGACAATCATACTCTGCCTGTCCATCTAGCAGCCATCTCCCTCGTCAGCGAGCGGCGCCACGCCCAGTGTCTGGATCCGCCTTGGCATTTGTGCCTCTTGCGAACCACACGATACCCAAGCCTGCCAACTCCAAGTGAGTTCAGCCCTCTCTGACTGGGGCTGAGCTTCACCCACGTTCCAAACTCGGATTCGTCCAACGGCCATCTGATGACGATCTGGCTAGCTCCTCCGAAAGATAGATTCCAAGCCTCCGTCCGGTCTTTTTCATGTCTCCAAACACGGCGTCCAACCATCGCCTCGCTGCGCTGTGTTTACCAAGCTCTCTCTCTCTCTCTCTCTCTCTCTCTCTCTCTCTCTCTCTCT